TCTGTATTCTGTATTCTGTATTCTGTATTCTGTATCCTGCATTCTGTATACTGTATCCTGTATTCTGTATTTTGTATTCTGTATTTTGTATTCTGCATTCTGTATTCTGTATCGTGTATTCTGTATTATGTATCCTGTATTCTGTATACTGTATCCTGCATCGTGTTTTCTGTATTCTGTATTCTGCATTCTGTATTCTGTATTCTGTATTCTGTATTCTGTATCCTGTATCCTGTATCCTGTATCCTGTATTCTATATTCTGTATTCTATATTCTGTAGAATGGGTTTGGGTCTCCTGTGTTCTATGTCCAGACAGCCAAGAAAATAGAAACTGCTGAGGAGGGGGTGGAGTTTCTTAAAGAACTTGAATATCTAGGTATTTTAAAATTCTAAAGAGATTGTTCACGTTTTGTAAGCTATGCCCTTTGAAACAATTTCTAGCAAATGAGCAAAAAATGCCCGATTTTGTTCTCATCTCAGATAGAAAAGAGATGATTTCCACAACATCATTTTTTGAGGAAAGCTTAAGCTGCCAATGTTTCCAGAAGCAATTCTGAGTTGAAGCATTTTTCGAAATGTCTTCTTTAAAAAATATAAAGAATACTTTTGCTAATCTTCAATGGATGTGTGCAAGTGTTCAGCTAAGCTTAAATTTTTTTTAAATAAAAAGAAAGATTATGAAAATGCAACAAAATAGTTTCATTTTCGAACCTTGATATTTCAAAAAGTATATTTTTCGAACGATGATAATCAAAAAGTATACTTTTCAAACCATGATAATCAAAAAGTATGATTTTTTAACCAAGATCAAAAAGTTTCATGAACTGTCAAGAACAGAATTTTTTTTCCATTCCAGCAATATGCAGTATTAACGATGAATCTTGCAAGAACAATTTTGGCAAAGTTGATAAAAAGATACAAAATCACTAAAAGTGTAAAAATTAACAAAGCCAGTCAGAAAAATTTGCCAGTTTACGTTAAATTTCTGCCAGATCAGTGAAAAATCTGCCACTTTTTAGCGGGAAATCTACCAAACACAATATATTTAAATATTTCAGATCGTGAATCTATCAAGCATATTATTCTCGACTGTCCTGCTAATATTGCTAAACAGATGATAGTTAAACACGTTCAAACTATTGTGTTAGGTGAGCACTAAGCATAGATAGTTAAACACGTTTAAACTATTGTGTTAGGTAAGCATGGATAATAAAACACGTTCAAACTATTGTGTTAGGTAAGCATGGATAGTTAAACACGTTCAAACTATTGTGTTAGGTAAGCATGAATAGTTAAACACGTTCAAACTATTGTGTTGGGTAAGCATGGATAGTTAAACACGTTCAAACCATTGTGTTAGGTATGCATGGATAGTTAAACACGTTCAAATATTGTGTTAGGTAAGATAAAAAAGTTAAAAAACGTCAAAAATCTGAAAAATCTTCAATGGACAGATAGATAGATAGATAGGAAAGTTTGAATAATATGTGATTTATGGAAAAGTTTTCGAAAGGAATTTTCTGACAAGCTTATAAAATCTTAAATTTAAATTCAGATTGATTAATTTTTTTTAATCCTTTTCTATTTAATAAGAAAGATATAAAACTGGGTCATTTCTAAAGGGGCTGTTAACAAAATTTGAAGTGGCACTACCAATTAAAGAGTTCCATGTCTGATTTACAACTGTACCCTTTACATGTTTATTTCTGCAACATTAAGGACGATTTTTAAAATGTGTCGAATTCTATCACTTTCGTTCGTTTACTTCCTGCTGCATAAATCCGCAAGTCATTTTAATAGAGAAACCACCATTAAAAATTATTATTATTTTAAGATATAAAACAAGAATATCCTCAATAATTTTGCTCAGATAATGGTCTAGGGTGTCATTGTGATTTTACTTGAACAAACGTCTACAGTCCCTTAATTAGGTATAAAATCCCCGGGTCACTTGAAATAACGTTCACAGTCCCTTTAAGTTATTGAATTTCAGGATCACTTGAAATAACGTTCACAGTCCCTTTAATTGTTATTAAATTACCTGAGCTGAAAACTTTAGAATAGGATATCCTTAATCCCGATTACTTAATCTGAGTATCCAATGAACAAACTTTTGATTTTAGACCGTTCTAAAGTAGAGAAAAATCAAAAACCGATTTTTCTCTATTAAAGAGTCCTTCCGTTTCTGTATATTACTGTTAAATGGCGCGCAAAATTTCAAATTTATCGACTTCATATACGCGACAATGATTGGTTAAATTTTATACACTTTTCAGGATACAAGTACAAGATTAGGTTAGTCTCGATATTAAGAAAAAGAGAGGATCCAGCATTTATCTCGATATCCACCAAATATAAAATTCCCGTTTTAAAAATGAAAATAAAGTATGAAGTAAATGATTTTGGTCCTCTCCTCTTAAAATAGAATTCAAATTATGCTTAAGAAATATAGAAAGAAATAAGAGAATAAACAGAAGGTAATAAAGTAATGGTATTATAAAGGCTAATGCTGTGCAGAACCCTTAATGGGACAGAATATTCGAAAATATTATATATATCCTTTAAAAGCATTTTATGAAAATAATATATAATATATCCTTAAAAATTATTACATATCCTTAAAAATATTTCATGAGAAACTATCCTATTCTATCCCGTGTTTCATATCTAGGACGGAGAAACTATCCTAAATATCCTGTATTATATATCTAGGACAGAGAAACTATCCTATATATCCTGTATTATATATCTAGGACAGAGAAACTATCCTAAATATCCTGTATTATATATCTAGGACAGAGAAACTATCCTAAATATCCTGTATTATATATCTAGGACAGATAAACTATCCTAAATATCCTGTATTATATATGTAGGACAGAGAAACTATCCTAAATATCATGTATTATATATCTAGGACAGAGAAACTATCCTAAATATCCTGTATTATATATCTAGGACAGAGAAACTATCCTATATATCCTGTATTATATATCTAGGACGAAGAAACTATCATTATCTGATGTCTGGTCTGGTTCTGGATGAGGTTTGGGAAGGTTCTGTTCAAGAATACGGAGCCATTAATATTACCGGACTCAGGAATTTAGATATTTTCTTTAAAAATATTTATGGTAGTGGACGATTGTAAAAAAAAGACATTCATAAAATATTTTGGTTCGGGTTAATAACATTCTTCTTTCGCCAGACAGGAGTTTCAATAGTTCTCACGATAATTTTCTCTCTGAGATATTATAAACTATATAGATCTCAACCAAAACTTACTCATTCCTTCCAAACTAGGAATCTGGTACGTTTGTATGCATTATCTTTAATCTTGAATGGTTGATCTCCATATCCAATGTGGGCACTTTTAAATTTGAGGATCAATGCTTAATTAAAATTATATCTGCAGGGAATTAAATAAATTTTCTTAACATTTTTGTTTACACCCTTCTCGGGAGGAATTAAATCAATCCGTAAGAGTAATAAATCATCCCACAATAAAATTAAACTGCCTTTTAAATTCTGAGATACTTATGAAGAGGTTCGGGTTTCGGTCGGTGGATTTACATTGTGACTTTCTTGATATTAAGTATAACATCAGTAATAAGTGATGGCAAACAATTTAGATTACCACAAAAGTATTTCTAAAAAACCTACTTAAACTGCTTCATCCAAGCTCTTAGATTAAGCTTTGACTAGTAATATTCTATCTAAAATGGAACTAATTCTTGCTTTCCGCGTTCCACAGAACTTCATGAGTAACTTTCTAGAATTGCAGCAACCTCAAATGTCCGATTGACTGTATGCTCTTTTGTGTTAGATCGTGAATTGTTAAAGCAAACCTCAACCCACTTTGTTACCAGTCCCTTAAAGGTTGGATAAAAAGAAAATATCTGGTGCAGAATTGTTCAATATGGATCCGATATATCAAAGCATTTTTTCTCCAGGTACAAACCAACTTTTATTGGTTTAGCAACCTAAGAAGGGAATAGAAAAAGAATATTATACGAAGAAGGGGAGGAGAGAAAGGGGGGGGGTTATAGGGGACCATATTTTTTTGTAACATATAGTACCATTGTTTTTAAGTATATCAATTTTAAGAAAGAAAAATTCTTTCTTGATGTATGTATAATAAAGATTTAAATGGGAATAAATATTTTTTTTAAATTATGGAAATTAAAAAAAATAGTAAAAAAAAAGAAAACACGAAGTCGTATCTTATGATATCTATAGAACATTATAGTTTTTATAATAAGTAATTCTAATGGGGGAGTATATGGGACTGACACCCCGACTGAAGAAAGGGCTATAGTTCTAAGGGGGACAGGGGGGGGGGTAGAGGTTCAGCCTCCCACTGGTCAAATTCCTGTAAACACCCCTGGTAGTATCAGCTGTTTAGATGGAAGAGTCTAGAAAAGATCCCACGTGGTAGAAAGAACAGTATTTCCGCTGAAGGAGCTCTCGCCTTCGATATAGTCAATCTTCTCATCAGCTCATTCAACAATCTTCTCAGACAAACTCCTGACGCATTCAAGTACGCATTTTTATCAAATTTACGCACGCTTTAGGTGTTGTTACATTTGGTTTGACTTAAGTTCTTTGCCCATTTATCCTAATTGATGTGCAAAGTAATCGAAAACGTTGTTACAAATAGATTTACAAAAGTATTTTATAAGGTCTCACCAATTTATTTATTTATTTTAAGGGAAAGAATTGGGTTTAAAAGAAGAAAAACTTATTTACAATTTTTTTTTGAGTTACGTCAAGAAAACAAATTTTTAAGAAACTCAATTCTTGCAAATTAGCATATTTTCAAGAAAGAAATCTAGTGAAAAGTCAAAGCTTGCTGAAATGACAATTTTGCACACACCCTCCTAAAGTGAGCAATGAGCATTCATTGCTGCCAAGGGATTGTTGAAGAAAATCGTAGCGGTTTCCTTTTTTCTTCACCCTATCCCGATTGGGCTATTTTTAGGATTGAGATAGGAGAGTGTGATACATGTTCCTAGTTTAACTTTTCAAGGCCAGCTCAATAACAATTTACGAACTTGAAATCAAATCAAACCATTTATTAGCCACAAGTTTAAACACATATATTAATTAAATAACTGACAATTATATATTTAATTCTGACAGTTTCTGCCACGTTGTTTCTGAAGCAGAAATGCGCAATTCACTTTCTTGAGAAACCACAATTTAGAATAATTGAATTTAAAAGAGAAAATGATTGATATTTCATGTATTCTTGATTAGATAACGTTTATAAGGGTACTGTTGTGAATCTGATATGTCACTACATCAATAGAGAATCATTAAAATTTACGTGTACAGTCCCTTTAATGGGAGGAAAATTTCTCTATCTTTTTTTTTCCCCCTTTATCTTCTTGTGATGAAATCAGTTAACACATTTTCGTTTGAAAGTTTAATGCAAGTAATCGTGGAAATTTTAAACTTTTATTTTTATCCCATAAAAACTGTTTAAAATCTATTAATTTTCCAAACTTTTTTATCTCCGCTTATTCAAAGTTTTGAAGCCGGCGATAACCGAATATCGTTTGAGAAGTTTGAATAAATTTCAGCAGTTCCATCACTTCTATACCGGAGAAAAGTACATGCATTATCTAAATTGAACCAAAACCGGGGTTTATCCTCCCAGATAGTTTCAGATAGTTAAATAAACAATTTATTAAACTACAAATTCTTTCTCAACTTCTCACCAAATATATTCATGAAATGGAAAAACTTTTTAAAAAATGGAAAAAATAACATTTTTTTTTGATTTGTTAACTTTTAAATAAGATAATAGATTAAAAATCTAGAGTCAAATTGAATATTTTTAAATAATAATTTATGTTATCTGAGAGTGAAAGTTGGCCAACTTTGCCCGGAAATTTTTTTTGAAAATAATTAATTTTGAAAATGTGCCAATTTAAATAATCCGTCGAAACTTGAGAATGGTTAAAAATGCCCTCAGCTAAAAACTAACATTGTTATTAGAAAAAGGGGGAAGTGCCCTAAAAGCCTAGTAATTTGACAACTGAACATATTGTAGACCAAAGAAGAAAAGTCGTGTAGAGTGCGGAGATATGAGTGGACAAGAGAAACCAGGAACATGGGAGCATGGGCAGACAATTCTCAAGTTCATTAGATCCGCCCAACTTCAAGGGTTAACAGGTATTTATTAGATATACCCAGACACAAGGGTTAATATTAGATATACGTGTGACAAGGGATAATATTAGATATACCCAGATACAAGGGTTAATATTAGATATACCCAGATACAAGGGTTAACATCAGATATACCCAGATACAAGGGTTAACATCAGATATACCCAGATACAAGGGTTAACATCAGATATACCCAGATACAAGGGTTAGCATTAGATTTACCCAGATACAAGGGTTAACATCAGATATGCCCAAATACAAGAGTTAATTAAAGATATGCCCAGATACAAGGGTTAATATTAGATATACCCAGATACAAGGGTTAATATTAGATATACCCAGATACAAGGGTTAATATTAGATATCCCAGATACAAGGGTTAATATTAGATATCCCACATACAAGGGTTAATATTAGATTTACCCAGATTAAAAAGAAATAATTTTTCTTGGAGTTCAAATATCTCATAGGAACTAAAATAAGAAATGTTTAACTTTCATTTCTAAAAATGAGGGCATAGTCATAGTTTTTTAGAATCAAGTTTTAGATATTCATCTTACTTTAATTCTTAATTTTTCACAAAATAGTAAAAAATTGAAAGTAAAAACCATCAGAAAATAGGTTTTTAATCTCAAAATATGAATTGACATATTAAAATATATTTAAAACATTCAAAGGAATTCCTAAAAAAAGATCTAAAGATATCTAAAACGAACGTTAAAAGCCATAAAAATTATATTTTAAAACTACTAAAATATATTTCTTTTCCTGGTAAAAATTAGATTTTCTACATAATTTAAACGGTTCTTTTTCTTTAATTTGTTCCATCAACGAATTAGAATTGTGCACTCTATAAACCTTTTTTTATAAAATACATTGAAACTTGCGCATTTTTACTGCAGGAAAATATATAGGAATTATCAGAATTAAACACTTATTTACCTAAATATCTATATATAATTCAACATATCAGATAAAGGTTTCAAGGGTATCGTTGTGAATCGGGCATTGCCCTCTTTGCTTGGAGGTTCACTTGATATTACGCTACTGCAGTCCCTTTAAGCTGTTAAGTTAAATTACAACAAACAACAGAAATAATGAAATTATATGATTTGCAAATATAAAATGTCAAGAACAGTGTAATTTCAAAATTGTTTTAAACAATGTGACATTATTAATGTTATAACTAATAATAGAAATGAAGGTACAGGGTGTCCCACAAACCATGACAGCTGGTAAATAGTTTAGAATATCTTCCTCCATAAGTTGTTTATTACCAAAGACAATAATAAAAATATCATATAGGAGTCATATTATAATAAAATTAACTTCAAAGTAAAATATATTTGAGTAAAAGATTGATAAATAAACTGAAATAAACTGAAAACAGCCTTAAATATCTAATACAGTGTATGGAAGACGATATTCAAAACTATTTACCAACTGTTATGTTTCGTGGGACACTCTGTAGCAGGAGGTTTTAAGCGGAATTAAATGTATCCTGTATCATGTGTTCTGTATCCTATGTTCTGTATTCCGTATCCTATGTTGTGTATTCTGTATCATGTATCCTATATCCTGTATCTCTGTATCCTGTATCTCTGTATCCTGTATCTCTGTATCCTATATCTCTGTATCCTGTATCCTATATCCTGTATCTCTGTATCCTGTATCCCTGTATCTTTGTATCCCTATATCCTGTATCCTGTAGCATATATTCTGTATCCCTTTATCCTGTATCCAGAATCCCTGTATCCCTGTATCCTGTTTCCTGTATCCCTGTATCCCAGTATTCCTTTAACCATTGGCCGAATTTAAAGAATTTGAGCGGCGGTTTAAATTTAAGCCGCGGCTTAAATATGGTTGGTTCCACTTAAAATTGTATCAAATGTTTCAAGATTTAAGCCGGCGCTAAATTTAAACCGGGTTTTGGTGGATTTTGGCGGATTTAAACCGCGGCTCAAATTCTTTAAATTCCATCTCATGTATCCCTTATCCCATTATCCCTGTATTCTGTATCCCTGTATACTGTATCCCCGTATCCCTGTATTATGTATCCCTGTATACTGTATCCCTGTATTCCTGTATCCTGTATCCTGTATCCCTGTATCCAGCTGTATCCGCTATTGTCTCCAACCTGAAGAGAACTGAAAGAAGATTAAGGATAAAGTACTCAGAAAACATCAACAAATTAAAAATCAACAAAACTTTATTTTTCTTTCTTGAACATTGCAGAAACAAAGATGAGACACGAGATATATTCTTCAAATTGTACATTGTACAATGTGCAAACTATACAGCAAAACAATATTTCGCGCAATTTTTCCGTGTGTACAGTGTACACTGTACATACTGAAGCAGATGTTGAAAAGTTTAAGAAATCAACAATATAATTTGAAAAGTTGACAAACTTTTCTACTTGTTTCAAACCTCAAGTCAGCAGCAGGAAATATTAAAGGTTTTCCTGTAGCAACAATCAACATTGTTTCATCTCTAAAAGGAGAAAAAACTAAATTAAAGTTCTAAAAGAAAGTTACTTTTATTCCATGGGCAAAATCCTTAGAATGGAGAAGAAAAAGCGTTTTATTGCTTCAATACACATTGTTCTACATCCTGTGTCCTGTATCCTGTATGCTGTATTCCGCATCATGTGTATCCTTTATCCTTTATCATGAATCCTGTATCCCGTATCCTGTATTCTGTATCCTGTATTCTGTATCCTGTATCCTGTATCCTGTATCCTTTATCCTGTATCCTGCATCCTGTATCCTGTATCCTGTATCCTGTATCCTGTATCCTGTATCCTGTATCCTGTATCCTGTATCCTGTATCCTGTATCCTGTATCCTGTATCCTGGATCCTGGATTTCTGTATCCTGGTTCCTGTATCCTGTATCCTGTATTCTGTATCCCGTATCCCGTATCCTGGTTCCTGTATCCTGTATCCTGTATCCTGTATCCTGTATCCTGTATCCTGTATCCTGTATCCTGTATCCTGGATCCTGGATTTCTGTATCATGGGAGGAAATGGCGATTTTGCATCCTTACACTGTACACAACATTAGTTTTTTTTTACTTTTCTCCTAAAAATATCAATGTGTTGCAACTATGTAAGAAGTCTTTCTCTCTACGTTTAAAAGTATCAAAAAATGACAGAAAAGTGAGCCTTACATCGTTGTATTAATCTCAAACCGTTCTCAAGACAATCTATGGGAGGAATGTAAAAATATTATAATATCCGAATATTGTGCAAAATCATTTTTAGAAAATTGAATATAAAATTTTATGCAATTGCTACTCGGCCATAGATATACTTTAATATGCATATTTATTACTGTTTGCAGAGCCTAATGTTTTTTTTTATTACTAATTAGTCGCATTATAATGTAATTGTAAATTTTAATATGCATATATATATGTACAATAACCGGAATTAAATTAATTTTCGGAAAAATCATAAAACAAAACTGAACCCTCTTAAAACTGTTAAATGTTTACAATTAGAGCTGGACATATTCAGACTTTTGTCAAGCCGTTTCTTAACGGTTAGTTAAAACTGTTGAAAAAACTAATTTTCTGGTAGCCGTTCGTTCTTCAGATAAGAAATTAACGTTCTTAAAGTTTTCGTTCGTTAACGATCTTAATTTACGCAAGATATTTTAGAAATTCTGAACGGTGTCAGCCGTTAACGATTATTTCATGTGAAAAAAAACTGGACGATTTAGAGACAATATTCAAAAATATCGAAACACGTAAAAATACATCAAAATACATCAAATCTATTTAAAATTTTCTGTAATGATTTCAAAATTAACGAAGTTTTCCGTTCGTTATCAGACACTGCCTTTAATTTTCAAAAACTTGCCATTTAGTAATGGACGTTGCCTAGACCAACCAAGTGGTTTGAAACCAACTAGCTACACCTTTTGATTTCATCACATTTATACTTTTTTGTTGCACAAGACATGTAGATTTTAGAACTATAAAATACTTGTTTTTAGTCTTGGTTTAAAGTGATTGGTAAAATTCTCATCAATTTTGGATTGAGAGTTTACAAACCTTTGAATCACTGTGAAATGAAGACACTAAAGCCTGTAAGCTCAAAAACTATTTTTACCTTACTTTTATATAAGTAATATTATCGTGTTCATATATAATCATATCTATACGCTATATATACATATATCTATATATATATATTTATATATTTCCGGTCTCACATATCAGAATGAATAATCTACGAGGCCAGTATACATTACAGATAGATAGATAAATATGAGTGAACAGGAATAAATAAAGTCAAGAACTCGAGATAGGTTCAATGAAGATAGATCTTCATATTAACAAATTGCATTTATTCACAGGGTTACCCATAAAAGATGATAACTCAGTGAATAAAAAGAAGCTTTATTTTGAAATCCAGTTTTTTCTTTCTATATTTGTAGCCCTGGTAATGATGTTATTAAAGCTGTAATGCAATCTTCCCTAGCTATATTTTGAAGTAATTTCATCACAAAGTATATGAAAAAATTTATTTCAAAATGCAGTTTTTTTATTTTGAAATCTAAGAATAAAATACCTCATTTAAAGTAAAATAATATAAAAAGTTTAAACTCGAACGTAAAAGGTTGGATTTAAGAGATTGTATAAGGTTGAGATTTTATTAAGATAAGGTTTCTTCTCAAATATGCATTTTCATTTAAATTCACTCTTTCAAAAACTTGGATAAATTCTCTAGGGTAGATACTGAGATTACTCCTAGGACCGCAGGGTGTATCCTGTATCCTGTATCCTGTATCATTTATTCTGTATTCGGTATCTTTCATTCTGTATTCTGTATCATTTATTCTGTATTCTGTATCATTTATTCTGTATTCTGTATCAATTATTCTGTATCCTGTATCATTTATCTTTTATTCGGTATCTTTTATTCTGTATTCGGTATCTTTTATTCTGTATTCTGTATCATTTATCTTTATTTCTGTAACATTTATCTTGCATCATCTTGTATTCTGTACCCTGTATCCTAAATTCCGTATCCTGTATCCTGTATCTTGCATCCTGTATCCTGTATCCTGTATCCTGTATCCTGTATAATAAACTTGCATTCTGTATATTAATAAAAAAGCTTGGTTTTCAACAAATATTCACTGTAAAGTGAATTTTTTAAGCATCTTTGTGTTCATTATCAATTCTCTTGAGACAAATGCAATTTTATCTTAATTGCACATTAAGACAAAATAGAAAAAGATGATTTGGCAGATTTTCTTTCTTTTACAAAGTTGTGAGAAACATTTGAAGACAAAAATTTGCAAGATTGAGTTCATATAGATCTATTAAACACTCCTTTAACTGAAGAGCTATTGAGAGGGTTATAAATGTTTTGAATTTCTTATGTATAACCATGCGGGTGCGTAAAATCAACACTAAAGGATTACGAGGCCACAAAGCTTCGTACCATTCATGTTTTCTCCCTCTGTCTTATTTACAGCTAGATACTTACAGTTTAAGAAAAAGAAGTAACATTCTTACTATTTTTTTACTCAACCAAATGAACAGAATTGAGCAGAACAAATCCAGCCAAGGCGCAGAGACCAATGAACAATGGGTCTCTGCATGGGTTTTTTTGTAATAAGGTCTATTTTTTACAACGAAAAACCATGTTTTTGGTTTTCATTTACATCTTAAACTTAGAAGTATGGCTTGTTAAAAAAATGGGGTTCTTATGTTTTTTCTTTAAATTTCTTATTTATTTCAGGAATGATATCGTTTGACCGACAGGGTCGCCGCTACAACTTTAGCCTGGATGTGCTAGAGATGACTTCTAGGAGTGAACTAGTTCAGATTGGAACCTGGTCTGATACTATTGGTTTATCTCTAGCCAGCTCACCTATTATCAGAAACCATCCGGTTCAGACAAAAAAATTAACGTAAGTTTTTTTTTATTTTTTAAATAGAATATTTTAATTTTAAGTTCATAATAAGGGAGTGGGTCGATCGTTAGAGACTACAGAGTTAGCCGCAAGAGATGAGAATCCAAAGACGATTTAAAAAAATTTTAAAAGTTTCAATTAAGTCTTTTGTTTTGAATGTGCTCTTGAAATGACTTATTCACTAAATTAATTAATTAATAATTTATTAATAAAAGAAAGAAAGAAGTTTATAATTGCAGGGAATCATAATTATAAGGAACCAGACAGTATAATTTCTGTACAGTCGTCTCTGAAGTCTCATCCTTTAAGGGTAACTCTGAATAAGTTGTGTAGTGCTTCAAGTGGGTCATGAAAAAAGACTAAACGGTTTTATATATTTTAAAATTGTCTGTTCTAAAAGAAGATATTCGCCTAAACATGTTTTAAAATCGGTTGTTTAACGAAAAGGCATGTACATTGTACATTGTACATTGTACATTGTACATTGTACATTGTACATTGTACATTGTACATTGTACATTGTACATTGTACATTGTACATTGTACATTGTACATTGTAAATTGTACAATTCACAACGGTACCTTGAAAACCATTGTCTAATCTATAACGTAAAAGATATCGTTTTTGTTCTACTTTGAAAAGTGATTAATTCTGATAATTAAATCCGTTGTTTCTTTAAACAGAAATCCGCCAGTCAATTTTACAGAGAATTTACAACTAAACACAATAAAATTTCTAAAAGAGAATCATGAAATAGGTGATAAATTCTTGATAAGACAATAGATTGATTTAAAGGTATCGTTGTGAATTGGACATGCCGCCCTAATAACGGAGGGTAACTTGAAATCACGTTTGTTCTTTAATTAAATCTCTCAGAATAAATGAAATTCCCCAGATTCCAGATTCATCAAGCTAGCACATGTTTCTAATCCTATTGAAGCAATTGAGCTGAAATAAATGCTGTTAGTCTAACCTAACTATACCATTCACTTTAATGAAGGGATTAGGCTCTAAATATATATACGGCTTATTACGATTTTGGGGAATTAGAATAAAATGGATCAATTATTGGGGTTAGAGAATATATGATAAATTATAGGGGTTAGAGAATATATGATCAATTAAAGGGTTAGAGAATAAAGGATCAATTAATGGGGTTAGAGAATATATGATTAATTGTAGTAGTTAGATGATATATGATCAACTCTAGGGGTTGGATGATAGGATCAATTATTAGTTAGAGAATAAAGGATCAATTATAGTAAAGGGTGTTAAAAAAAACCTCACACTTTTTTCTCTCACAGGCTTAATTATTACCCGAACATGATGAAAAAAAATCATAATGTCTTTAGGATCTCATGAGTACATGGTTAGAAATTTATCGGATTTTGTCAACTCTAATATGAATAAATGCTCTAATTATCTCTTGGAGATGAAACTGATCAGCGTACCTGCAAAAAAAAAACATAAAAAAGTCCAGAACTTACTTAAAATGGACAAAATCTATTTAATTGTGTTTAGTATTTCCTAAAAGTCTGAACAGCTTTGTTAATTTCCAGATACAAATTCAGGATGGAGATGATATGACCCAACACAAATTTGGAGTATAAAATACCATTTCAAGGCAAATGCAGAGCCAGGTCCTTCACTTCTTCTTCTTCAAGGAGAAGCACTGCCGGGGACTATTAATATAAGCTGATGGAACCATATTTTATTGCAAGAAGGAATGTACCTGACTATCCTAAAGCTTTTACTTGTGTAAATCTACTCTAACTGGGTCCACGAGGGCTCAGCTTGCTGCTTGCTGGCAGGACATTCCCATTGATAAAGATAGATTGCGCATAAGACGACATTTTTCTTCTTGAAAGATATAAATGTACAGAGATGTTTTAAAGATGTTCCTATTATATAAATTAACTAGGTCGGTTGTGATCATTGAGTACTTGTGGTTTACGTGAGTTCTGTAGAGAGAAATTTAAGTTAGTTTAGTCCTTCTCATGTCCTTAATCAGTTCTCGTCAATATGATATTTTGCTCAGTGAAGCATTGTTGTTCAAATAGTTCCATTCCCGGAGTTATTTTACACTCTATTCTATGAAATCCATTAAAACACTAAACCACCCCGCTTATCATTGAAGTACACTTTGACCCCTAGAATTATGAGTTCGCGGACTGTACAATTCTTGGTGATTTTGCGTACATAAGCTATCTATGTTTATTTATTTATCTATGGACATACCTGTAAACAGTCACCTCCACCAGCATTTTATACTGTCAGCAAAGGCTTCAATGAAAGTTCGGTTTACACCTGACAATGTCCATGAAGTTATAAAGTGTCCGGCCTATTATTGAATATTAGGGCAATGTTAAAAAAGAAGGTTGCCAAGGAAGAAATGTGAACTGAATGTTTACAGAAGCAGTGTGGTAAGAATGAGAAATCCCAGCCGGGTATGCTGATTAGTTCCATCATTAAGAGATATAGAGCATTTATTTATTTTAACCATGGAGTCCTAACATCTTAGAGACACTTTGGTATACATTTTATTATGATTGGGTAATAATCGAGCCTGTGAGAGACAAAAAGAGTGAAGGGTTTGGTTTTTTTAACCCCCTTTTAGTTTGCGAATATATGATCAATTACAGAGTTTAGGGGTTATAGGATTAATTATAGGGGCTAGAGTTGAAATAATCAACCAAAGAACCGATAGATCATAAACCCCCCATATTTGGTTTGCAAAAAGATAAAGAGATAAAGACTTTTTATCTTGAAGGGTAAAGATAACGTTAAGGGTTGAACCAATGTCCTTCTGTTCCTTCTGTTCCTTCTGATCCTTCTCTTCCTTCTCTTCTTTCTGTTCCTTCTGTTCCTTCTCTTCTTTCTGTTCCTTCTCTTCTTTCTGTTCCTTCTGTTCCTTCTGTTCCTTCTCTTCTTTCTCTTCCTGCTCTTCCTTATCTTTTTTCTCTTCCTTCTCCTCCGTCTCCTCCTTCTTCTCCTTCTCGTCTTTCTCCTTATTTTCCTACTTTTCCTCCATCTTATCACTCTCTTCCTTCCATTTATTCTCCTACTTCTCATTCTATTTTATTGCTGTCTGCAGTTTAAGATTTATTTCTTCTGAATATGAGAGTTTTATATCTGTACTGCAGATAGAGCCTAGTTCCGAGTAGTACTGGAATCAGATAGAGCTAATAGTGTATCCGAGTAGTACTGAATTCAGATAGAGCCAACAGTGTATCCGGGTAGCACGGAAGTCAGATAGAGCCAATAGTGTATCCGAGAAGAACTGGAGTCAGATAGAGCCTAGTGTATCCGAGTAGTACTGGAATCAGATAGAGCCAAAAGTGTATCCGAGAAGTACTGAATTCAGATAGAATCAATAGTGTATCCGAGTAGTACTGAATTCAGATAGAGCCAATAGTGTATCCGAGAATTACTGGAGTCAGATAGAGCCTAGTGTATCCGAGTAGTACTGGAATCAGATAGAGCCAATAGTGTATCCGAGTAGTACTGAATTCAGATAGAGCCAATAGTGTATCCGAGTAGTGCTGAATTCAGATAGAGCCAATAGTGTATCCGAGTAGTACTAGAGTCATATAGAGCCTAGTGTATCCGAGTAGTACTGGGGAGTCATATAGAGCATAATGTATTGCATCTGAGTAGTACTGGAGTCTAATTCATCCCATGTTTTTTATCTTAAGGTTAGAATTATGACCCAAAGTTTATCAGCAAACAGTTTTATCGGTGTTAGGTATTCCCCATGGGCGAAAAATTCCAAAGTGATTTAATCCCAAACGGTTGTTTTCCAAATACGTCCTAAGATTAGAAAGTTTCTGTTGTGAATTGATCTTGTGATCAAGCTTTGATCTCCAGTTTGTGCAAACCTACGGATAAGTTTAATTTCTCTTGGATATTCGGTGGTGATCGTATCCTGCGGAGATAACTAAAATAAAGGGATCAAACACTTCCATCAAATTTTTTTTAAAATTAAAAAATAAACTTTTTTATTTTCCGTTTCAAATATGACTTTAAAGATTTTTCTGGACTTGATAATAATTTTAAAGATATTTTTTGCCATCAGTAACAAGATGCTTTAAACCCTTAAAACAATTATATTCCTTACCTTTCTGATTTGTTTTATTTTCTGTTTTTAAAATCTATTCATATATAAATAAACAACTATCTAAAAGGTTCAATCCAGCTTCTTTTGATTTATAAGATTTAAATATTCAAAATAAATTAAGATTAAAGTAAACTTCAAAGTTAATCTAAATATTTTCATATTCGTACATTCCTTCATACATATATATATATATATATATATATATATATATATATATATATTTATACATATATAATAACCAATTTTGATAAACAATAAACAATAGAACTTTATAAATTAAATAAATAATATATATTTGGTTTGGTTTAAGGAGATTTGGTGGATTTTTTACGTAAATTAAACCGTGGAATAGAACAAGACATTTAAGCTATCTATTGATGTTTATAAATTAAATAGTTTTACTAGTTACTTGAAATAACTTATTAAGTGGGGCTGTGTACTGTACACTAAAACCAATACCTTGCATTAGGACGGCCGGTTTAATTAACATAAGCATAATAAAAAAAACTATCCGATAAGAAAAAGAAACTATCCAATGTCAAGAAGGAAACCACTTGATAATAAAAGGGAAACTATCAGATGATAAACTGTAAACTACTCAATGATAAGAAGAACAACTACTCGATATATGAAGACAACTACTCGATAATAACAGGGAAACTACTCAATAATAAGAACAAAACCAATCCATAATAAGAAGGAAACTACTCAATCAGATGAAGGAAACTACTTAAAAATATGAAGGAAACTACTCAATAATAAGAAGGAAACTACTCAATAATATGAATGAAACTACTCGAAAATAAGAAGGAAACTACTCAATAATAAGAAGGAAACTAACTTAAAATAAGAAAGAAACTACTCGATAATAAGAGGGAAACTTCTCAATATTAAAAAGGAAACTATCCAATAAAAGGAGTGAAACGACCCGATATATGAAGTAAACTACTCGATTCTCAGAAACTCTGTAAGTTTCCTCAATATTCAATATTCACGTCATACATTCTTTCATCCATTAATTATAAATATTAATATTATTATTTTATGATTAAAGGGATTGTTGACGTTATTTCAAGGGACCATTTATTCATATAGAGTATTCATTTTCAAATGAACCCTATCTTTAAGTAGTGAGAAAGATAACGTCGTTTTTCTTAAAAAGTGTTGAATTCTTACAATTTCCTTCACTGTGACTTTCATATAGAAACAGCAATCAAAATAATAAACACTCAGCCAGAAAACATGGATTTCTCATTCATCCTTGAGGAGACAATGATTTAAAGAATAAATTTGTAAAACTGTTGTGTCACTTGAAATACCGACTACAGTCCCTTATATCAATATAAATTATTCAGATCTCAAACCTTTGTGATGACGACAATACTGGAGGAACCCTACATGATGCTTGCTAAACCTAGGAAAGGAGAAACCCTGGTTGGAAATGATAGATATGAAGGATACTGCAAGGTGATCCAATTAGTTCTAATTAATAAGGAAATAAGTGTGAATAGAAAATTGATCAAAGGAATAGATTATTTCCCTCAAACTCTAAATTTTTAATCCCTATATCTTTTCAACCTGGGGGTAAACCTTTATTTCTAACTAAAACTATTTGATAAAACAGGATTCATAGTTTGAAATATCCAAGGTATGTGACATTGGTTTGCAAAGATATAGGGATTAGAAAATCAGAGTTTGTGGCAAAGGCGCCACTCCTTTGAACGAATGTTAAGGACTGTTAAAGTAATTTAAACCCTTGATTTAATTACAAAATTACTAATTAGTACTGTCAACGTGTCGACTTTCAACTTTCAAGGGTAATTTTAGTAACCTTAAATTTACGAAAAATGAGAAAGATTTTGTCGTTTTTCAAAGAAAAAAGTAATTTCTTTGAATTTCATGCCTTCTTCCTGCTGCATAATTAACTAAATATAAATAAAAATTAATATATAGATATTAATTATTTCATATTTATTGTTACTCATTTAAAGATTTAAGTTCCACCGAGCTGTGAACCGACCAGATATGTAATTATGCCGACAGCCCCTTTAGTCACGTTGGCAGTTTGAATTCTCATTCTTTTTGCGTTCAAACAAATATTAAAAATCTTAATATTCAGGACCTGGCGACCCTGATTACCAGTCTAACCGGGATAAAGTTTCAAATAAAACCTGTAAATGACAGCAAATACGGTTCTCCGGACCCTCTAGCACCTGGAGGATGGAACGGTAGGTTTCAAATAAAACCCGTAAATGACAGCAAATACGGTTCTCCGGACCCTCTAGCACCTGGAGGATGGAACGGTAGGTTTCAAATAAAACCTGTAAATGACAGCAAATACGGTTCTCCGGACCCTCTAGCACCTGGAGGATGGAACGGTAGGTTTCAAATAAAAACTGTAAATGACAGCAAATAAGGTTCTCCGGACCCTCTAGCACCTGGAGGATGGAACGGTAGGTTTCAAATAAAAACTGTAAATGACAGCAAATAAGGTTCTCCGGACCCTGTAACACCTGGAGGATGGAACGGTAGGTTTCAAATAAAACCTGTAAATGACAGCAAATATGATTCTCCGGACCCTCTAGCACCTGGAGGTTGGAACGGTAGGTTTCATATAAAACCTGTAAATGACAGCAAATACGGTTCTCCTGACCCTCTAGCACCTGGAGGATGGAACGGTAAGTTTCAAATAAAACCTGTAAATGACAGCAAATACGGTACTCCGGACCCTCAAGCACCTGGAGGATGGAGCGGTAAGTTTCGGCAACCCGGAGCAAATCCCCCCCCCTCATTTCTCACCTTTTTCTCCCCCTTTTCTCATCCTTTGTAGGTATCCTGGATGTACAGAATATAGGATCAACTACACTAAACACTGTACAAGGTTTACTGCAACGGTTTACTAACTATAAGTAAAAAAAAGAAATATAGAAACTGAATTCAGAATCCGGGGGTGTAAACTCCGGTTTATTTTCTCCTTTTATTTCTTTATCTCCTTCTTCTCTGTTTCCTCCCTCTTCTCCTTCTCCTCCTTCACCTCCTTTTCCTCCTTCTCCTCCTTCTCCTACTTCTCTTCCTTATCTTCCTTCTCTTCCTTCTCTCCTTCTCCTCCTTCTCCTCCTTCTCCTCCTTCTCCTCCTTCTCCTCCTTCTCCACTTTCTCCTCCTTCTCCTCCTTCTCCATCTTCTCTTCCTTCTCTCCTTCTCATCCTTCTCCTCCTTCTCCTCCTTCTCCTCCTTCTCCTCCTTTTCCTCCTTTTCCTCCTTCTACTCCTTCTACTCCTTCTCCTCCTTCTCCTCCTTCTCCTCCTTCTCCTCCTTCTCCTCCTTCTCCTCCTTCTCCTCCTTCTCCTCCTTCTCCTCCTTTTCATCTTTCTTCTTTTCCTCCTTTCTATCTGCATTCTTTCTATTTTTTCTCCTTGTCCTTCTTATTGTTCTCCGGACCCGCAAGCATCAGGTGGCTGGAATGTTATTTTCGGTAAACCGGAGAAAATTTTTTTTTTTTAGATCCTTTTATATACAGTGAGACTATGAACTTGGAAGATGACTTTTAACTCAAGTTATGGTCTAAAACAGTTTCTAGGTTAATTTTTAAGCCAGATGGTAAAACGTTTAGAACAACATCAAATTCACATAAGATTGCTTAAATGTCATCATCTTATTCCACGGTTTTATGTCGCTTCCTGTATACTTACTTCTATATCTTTTTAAACATTTTCCTTCCAAATACCTGAGAATCTTAAAGCTATCTATCGATCTATCTTCTAATCCTCTAAAACCTGAAACTTTGCCTTCTTTGATCTTAAAATTACTTTTCCGAGAGAAATTAAAGAAAATGCCTCTCTTCATAAACTCTGATGGAAAAATAATTGATAGAATTTTCTATTTCTGAATATTGGCTTTGATCCCTAATATTCCTGTATCTCTTCAGAATTACTACAACTGGGTGATTCATAAAACTGTAGAATTATAGGATCAATGTCTATTTGATGTTGTTTTAAACCAAATAGTTTTACCACTAACCAGGAACTTATCAATAGAATTGGGTCTGTGTACACTTCACAATTGCTGTGTTAAATGTTCATATGACTATCTAACCTAGTCTTATTTTGATTCTTACAGTCGTCTTTATATTTCTCAGTTTTATAAGTATTACCGTACTTTAATCTGTCGGGGCTAAAAACATCAACCCTATTTCTCCTAAAAACTAGAACATTGTTAGTTCTTAATTTTAATTTCAAAAATATAAACTTACCGGACAAAATTGAAAATGGGACTAGAGAAATATTTTTATAATTAAATATACAATACGAAATCTTTGTTTAAATCTTTCATGTTTGCCCACATACTTAAAAATAATTAGGAAAAAAGTCAAAAGATTTAGATCATCAAAAAAACTTTACAAAAATTTAAGGACCAATTATATTGATAAATCTCTTAACAAATATGTGTTTCATGAAGTATGAATAAATTATCAAGGGCTTGCTCGGTGAACTCTTGATTTTTTAATTCTTAGCTTGAGACTTTTAAATGTACAGAATCGAGTTAAACATATTTTCTTCTCGCTAGGAGATTAAAACATATTTGCTTCACGTTAGGAGATTAAAACATATTTGCCTCTCGTTAGGAGATTATTACATATTTTCATTTCGCTAGGAGATTATTTAGGAAAAAAAGAAGGTTCTGGTTAATCTTAATTTGGTACAGGTAGTGAATTGAGCTCCGGATAGCTCAACTACCTCTCTCTATCATAAATTCCGAACTCTGGTTTGGTTATAATCTTGTTTATCCAGATATGGTTGGAAACTTTAGTCCTTGTATCTAGGTATGGTTGGAGAACTTGTAAGAAGAGAAGCTGAAATAGCGATTGCTCCGCTTACGATTAACTCACAAAGAGAACAGGTTAAACTTATGATTCAAAAATCAACCCCAAATTATTTTTCCTGGGGTGAGGAAGAAAAAATTTCGTTGAAATGGAGTTTTGTGTAAAACAAGTAAATAAACTTACAAGTTTAATCATTATTAAAATAAAGTGATTTTTGTATTTGTTTTTATCAAAAAAAAATTCTTTTTGTTTCTAGAGTTTATGTTTTTTGTAGAATTTATTAAATTTTAGGTTGCGGATTTTACTAAACCTTTCATGTCTCTAGGGATATCAATAATGATAAAGGTAAACATACATTATTAGAAGGGGAATCATTTTTTAAAGAGGGGATAAGATTTTAAAGGGGGATAATTTTTTAAAGGGGGGATAAGTTTTTAAAGGGGGGATAAGTTTTTAAAGGGCTGGGGTATAAGTTTTTGCAGGGGGGATAATATTTTAAAGGGGGATATTTTTTTTAAGGGAAGGGAGGAATTAAAAAAAAAATTAATAATTCGAAAAGGGAAGGCGAAAATTTTGTAGATGGAAGGAAAAATCATAAAAAGGGAGAGAACAAAAAAGAAACAAATAGAACTTTCTTATCTTTGAATTTGTTTTTCTGCCTTAAATATAGTTTTTTAATGATTTAGCAAAGAGAGTAACATGCTTACAGCTGTAGTGCACAATGAATAAAATGATGGAATAAATTCTGTACAGTCGTCTCTTATAAGTCTCATCCTGTATGAAGATGGTAACATACTCTGCTCAAATCTGACAACTGATAAATATTCTCTAAACTCCTCTTAAAGTATTTTCATTCAATTTGTGCAAATCGGATGGTTGCATTTCTGCACTCGATTTTTGCACATTATGTATTCTGCACATTTTATTGCAAATTTAATCAAATTATATGTTCCGGGGAAATTTACTGCATTTTTTCCTGGGTAAATATATACCCATTTGTCAAACCAAGAAAGAGATGAATTTTTTTTTGTGGCAAAAACTAAGTTGTGAAACGAGTATTGCGTCTTTGCATGGAGGGTCACTTACACAGTCTCTTTATGTTGCAAAGATGAAAGATCTAGAAAACTACAATTCATTCAATTACCTGATTTGCGAGTTTTTTTGGGGGTAAAATTGAGTCTTTGCCACAAATCTAAATCCTATATCTTCGCAACCCAATGTCGTAGATGTTTGATATTTCAAACTATGAATCAGATTGCAAAGATACCGGAATTATAAAATTTTAAAAATGAAAGCATATTCACCTTAAAAAAAATTGAAATTATGTAATTAAAAAAATCATCTGCAGGAACCTGTGAAACAACGACCAGGAGTTTTTACGTTCATGAACCCGCTAAGTCTAGAAATCTGGATGTGCGTACTCTTTGCTTATATTGGAGTCAGCATAGTCCTCTTCCTTGTTAGCAGGTAGGTCATCTTCCACCCTCCCCCTCTTCCTTGTTAGCAGGTAGGTCATCTTCCACCCTCCCCCTCTTCCTTGTTAGCAGGTCATCTTCAAGCCGAAGTTAGGTACTTTTCCAAAGGCATTTTTCCAAGCGGCACATTCCCAAGGCTATTTTCCGAAAAGGTAACTTCCCAAATGTGCAAGTTTCCTAACGTTAACTTCCCAAGTCTGTCCTAGCCGCAGCGCTTGGCACCCTACCATTTTTAAGCCGCAGCGCTCGGGCCCCATTGCAGCCCGCGGGGTCACAGAAAGCCTAACCTAACCTTAACTGTACATTTGGGAAGTTGCCGATTGGTAAATAGTACATTTGGGAAGTTGCCGATTGGTAAATAGCACATTTGGGAAGTTGTCACTTTTGAAATTGTCACTTGGGAAATCGACCATGTGAAAATGCCTATAGAAAAACACCCAACAACGTCCAGCCCCCCCCCCTTTTCCTTTTAAGCTGGTATGCCATCTTAAAGCCCTCTTTTTCCTTCTTCTTTCTAAAAATTGTGAGTTTTCCATCCTAAATATTACTGATCGTAATTTATATATTCTGCTGGTTTTTCTTTAATATGTTGACAAGATGAGTTTAAAGCTGAATTTATTGCCTGACTATACCCACAAATAATCCCTCAGATTTAACCTATTAAATATGGGTGGAATTTTCTATCAACTTCAGAAGAATGGATACTTATATTTGACAAAGAACTCAAGGCGCTTCGCGCCCATCTTTCTAAAGTTACTTTTAATATTTGACTTTTAAATGCGACTATTTAAAGAAATCACGCACCTCTGTCCCTCTAGTAAAAGTAAATTGAACCTATATGAAGCATAAAGTCTGACCGCGTCAATCTTGTTGCACCGGCTAGTCCTGTCCATAGAGCCAGGTACAGTACAAACTGGGAGCGGAAAGGTTGACCCGACTCGGAAATTCAAATGTGCTACGGCTGCCAGTGTAATGTATGTGAAATAATCCTGAAGATTGCGTAGCATGAAACAAACTTAGATTTTTCTTATTTGTATTGAAGACTTCTCTTCTTAGGAAACAAATACATATTGTTGTATCTTATGAAACGAATGTATATTGTATAATGTATCTTATGAAACAAATGTATATTGTATAATGTATCTTATGAAACAAATGTATAATGTATAATGTATCTTATGAAACAAATTTATATTGTATAATGTATCTTTTGTATCATAAAGTATACATTATGCAATATATATTGTTGTATCTTATGAAACGAATGTATATTGTGTTATGTATCTTATGTATCATAACGTATACATTATACAATATATATTGTTGTATCTTATGAAACAAATGTATACTGTTTTATGTACCTTATGTATCATAACGTATACTGGACTGCAACATGCATATATGTATGCCTTTTGCGAGAATGTACATTCCTAATGTATGTATTTCATGCAACTTGTTTCTTCCTTTGCCAAATCATTAAATAAGTCATTAAAAGACTATATGTAAGGCAGGAGACTTAATTTAACGTTGGGATCGTCATAATATGAATTTCTTGTCGTCTTTACAGTCTCATAAATTCTGGATAACCGTGGAAAAGAAAATGTTGATAAATTTTGCCAGTTCACATGGAACTTGGAAGGAATTAGGCATTATAATTCTGGTACATACAAAAATATAAAATATGAATAAGTAAAATTTCATTTAAATTTGATTTTAATTAATGATTATAAATGTTAGATTATTTAGCTTAATGATTTTCATAATTGAAAATTTAATATACATAAGTGTAAATATTAATAAAGTTTAATATTATTAATATTTAATTTCACATTTTTGTGGCATTGGAGAAAAAATAATTATGAAAGAAAAAATAATATAGATTGTTTATTTTTAAAAATTTGTTTGTGTACGATATGAAGTAGAATTAAGTACATTAACCCTTACATAAAATGGACATTTCCATTTATTTCAAGTGACCAATTCCATTTAAAGAGGGCCCGCCCCACCAGTGTATATTTGAATACTAAGCTGGGCCAACCAACCTTTATCTGATCATTAATGTGAAGATATAGTCGAAACTAGTAGTCTGAGGCTTATGCCATCTATCCTATAGTTATCAAGGGGGGGGGGGGGTGGCATTTAAAACTTTTTATATCTCTAAAATTTACGCAGTTTTGTCTGGAGGTATCCTATATATTCGGCGGCTTTTCTTCATAAAAAAGATAAAAACTAAAAATAACTTTTTTCAAATTAATTTAATGCACCTTGATCTTCTTAATACTTAAAAAGTTTTATCTCTGAGCTTATCTTAAAGCTTTTAGCGAAAATGAAAAAAAATGATATTAAGACAGTCATCGCTCATCAGTTTGTTTAATATCAGAAGGAAACTTCTGCAAACCCATTCTTTGTTACTTTTTTTTATAAAAGTATTGTGAACTTTATCATTCATACTCACTTTATGGTGAACGTACTATATAGTAATCATCGTGCTATAAAGTAGTCATCGTGCTATATAGTAATCATCGTGCTATAATGTTAAATTAGCTGTACATTATATCACCGTGCTATAACGTTTTGATTGGTTCTCAGATTTTCTCAAAAAAACTTATTCCAAAATTAATATTTTTTCAATTTAAATAAAAATCAAATTGAAATTAACTTTATCTTTCTATTTTTGCTTTGTTAAAAAGCTTATTTTATCTAGAAATAATCATTTCAATAAGACAAGTACACAAATATTTCATAAAATTACCTATTCCAATATTATTTTGGCACGACGTGCTAAAAAGTTTTTAGACTTTATAGCACTGCGAACCAAAATAATATAGTGTTATCAATACCTTTTTTAATCATAAATTATAAAACCAAACAAGTAGCATTTCTCACACTAAGGTGTAAAATAAAAAGGAGTTACGAGGTACCAAAGTCCTACCAGTAACTCCAGTATCTCTAGATTGGAGTTATACTAACGTACATACAAACGGACCCATACAACTTATAGGCAGACGGCTGTCAGAATCAAGTTATGGCTTTAAATAGTGAACATGAAACACAGCAATAAAGATGTGTACGTACACAGTGCAATGTGCATAACCCAATTTAACCGTATTTCAATTAATAAACTGATTTTCAACCTACTGACAAATTTACTTAAAACAATAGCAAATAAACAAAAGGTTTTTCAAGTCGTCTTCCTCTTCCACAGTTTTCTGTGTCTCACGGTAGAATATTTCGTTCTAGATTTAATTTTATTTGTTCTATAATGTAAATATCAAAGAAAATCTTCCGAGTTGGTTTCCATTATATTTTTTTCTCTTTTATGATGAGAATTCCTATTATTATTTCATTATTATTTTGTGTGTGTACACTGTACAGCTAGCTAACCTTCTTGCTATTAATCTATCATTCATTCTATAGTACTCTTTCTATAAGTGTATTTATACTTGGCTTAATCTGATATTATATTTATTTACATATATCTTTTATACCTACTTCTTTATATATATATGTTATGTTTTTTAGTATCCAATAATCGTAAAAACGGCTGAACCGATCCGGCTAGAATTTTGTCTTAAGAAAATTTCAACTTTTTTTCGGAAATCAGCCAAATTATGAGAACAGAAAAATCCACGAAATCCTAAATTGTTGCTTTATGTTGTGTAATGTCTATACATGTTAAAATATGTCTATACGGGTGACATGGAAACTTCTCAACACGGAAACTGATCTAAAATAAGCGGAAACCGATTAATTTACTCAGTTTTTAATGTATTTCTGCGATTTCGTCGATTTTTTCGGAAAACCCTCAAAAGTCGGACAAAATGGGTTTCCTCTTTTTTGAGTTCGTTTTACCAAAATGTTAGATCCATTAGATATTTAATTAAAATAAAGCGGAAACGGATCTAAAATTTTCGTAAATCGATCAAAAAAGGGAAAATCTGACTTTTGATGGTTTTCAGAAAATTTCGAAAAAATAGCGAAAATGCATTAAAAAATTAGTAATTTGATCGTTTTCCACTAATTTTAAATCAGTTGCCGTGTTGCATGAGGCGTTCAACCCAGGTTCTAGTCAAGGTGGACTCTTGTTCTAGTTTGTGTTATATATATATATTGTAAATCCCTTCCTCGCTTGATTAAACAGATAATAAGTTCTGATGCTGCAACACAGATATTCAGTTTATCCATCTTCGATTTAAAATTAATTACTTGTTTAGAACATTCATAGACTTTTTTAGCAGATTTACCCTAAAGGACTGTCAACATGAAGAGATTGTTAACTTATTTGAAGTACATACGTATATACCACCTCATTTTTCTGATTTAAGTCAATATTCAAGCCAATATATTTATACAATTTTAAAGATGCCCCAGAATAATAGATGCTCTTAAAAAATGTTCCAGAATAATGGATGTTCTTAAAAGATGTTCCAGAATAATGGATGTTCTTAAAAGATGTTCCATAATAATGGATGTTCTTTAAAGATGTTCCAGAATAATAGATGTTCTTTAAAGATGTTCCAGAATAATAGATGTTCTTTAAAGATATTCCATAATAATAGATGTTCTTTAAAGATATTCCATAATAATAGATGTTTTTAAAAGATGTTTCAGAATAATAGATAGTCTTAAAATATGCCCCAGAATAAAAGAACGAAATATTTCTAAATAGAAAGCTAGAAATTCAGTTTTTGTCACAACCTCAAATTTTCCACCTGATGGTCTAGACCTTTGATATTTTAAACTTATAGACTATTTGACCTTGCCGAATTTATAGTATGACATATTAAAGGTCTACAACATCGGGTTGCAAATTTATAGGGGGAAAAATTTGAGTTTGTGGCAAAAACTCATTTCCTTTACAAACATTTTTCTAATCTCTAAATTGCAAAAAAATTATGAAGGTTTAAAGTTGTGTTTTGTTAACCATGACTATTTGATATATCTCTTAAAATTCATATATAATCCCTTAAAACCTAAAAAAGTTTTTTTTAAATCGAAAAAATTAAGCTGAGACCTTTATGACTGTGGCTCAGTAGGTGTCTTTATATTCTCCATATTCTATCCAATATTAGACAATATTTTCATCCCACTAAATCTTCTTGACAATATTGAAAAACTGAGATGACGGGAGGGCGGCGGGGAGNTATACAATATACAATTATATATATAAAATATATATAATATATATATATATATATATATATACATACATATAAGAAACATTAAATTTGAAACTAATCAAAATCCAACCAAAGCTCAAAATTTGTCTATGGTCGTTAATATCAAACGCTTGATCTTGATATCCAATATAGACTCTTTTAAATTTAAGATTAAAGGCTTGTTTCCTTAATTAAGGTTATCTCTGCAGTACGGTACATTCCAGTTCATTTCATGTACCGGGACTAGCCAAGGGTAAGCAGTACAGTACAAATACAGACTATATGAGGCATAACGGTACGGAACGCCAAATGAATGATCCCCGTCTGGTGAAATTTATGTGGCAGGGTATGACAATAAGATGGAGATCAATACTTGATCCCAAGATTCCCAAAACAAAAGTTCAGACATCTGGTCAATAAAGTATTCAGCTGCTACAGTTAACAGCCGGGGCAATAAAGTGTTAAAAAATTAAATATTTGAGTAAAGGGAAAAAGAGATCTATAAAATTATTCTAGATAAATGAGAAAACCAAATATATGACAATATTCTTGATATTTCTTATTATTCTCCAAACCTTCAATATTATAAAGATATCTAAGATAAATTATAAAAGCTTTAAAGTGACTATAGATTGTAATATCTGATTTACAACGGTACCCTTTCAACCTTGAAGGAACATTTCTCTCTGGAGTGGAAATACGCAAGTCACTCTAATAGAGAAACCACAATTTAAATGAATTTTAAGCTGAAAATATATGGATTTCTCCTTCATTTTAATATTTAAAGGGTACCGTTGTGAATAGGATTAACACTTTTTTAAATAGAGAGCCACATGAAACTTCGTCTGTAGTCCTTTGAAATTAACTTTAATTAATTTAGTTGGAATAGAACTTGGTTCACGTACCCTCCATACTTTGAAAGTATTTCAGAATTTGTAAAATTTGTTATTGTACTCCTGTACTCCTGTACTCCTGTACTCTGCATTCCTATACAGCTAGTTTACTGGAAAGGTTTTACCTTTGATTACAGAAACCCGAGTTCCAAAACTGGTTTTCATAACGCTACCCTATCTTAAGTTTTGGGCTCTGAGGTTAATACTTGGAAGGTTTGTTAGCTCCGGGTGTATAAATATACTGCGGATATGTATGGTGTATATATATGTGTTGAACCGGAGTAACTATATATCAAGTAGTATTGTGTTTATTTGTCACAACGCCAGTGCTACTTGCTCTTTATTATTATACCATTTCTTAGAAAAAGAGTCTGAAAGTCTGGAATATTCAAGATTTCAGAAATGGAGTCTTCATGTTTGACAAAGACGAATATATTTATGCTTCAGACAAACATAAACTTAAATATAATGCATAACTTTACTGCTCTCTCTCTGTCTCTCTATAAACCATATTTTTCTAGATTTTCTCCGTATGAATGGCAAATAGAAGAATCAATCGCTGGAACTACAGTATCAAACCATTTCAGTGTTATCAACTCACTTTGGTTTGCTCTAGGTATGTTAATTTACTCTAGGTGTATAATTGATTTGCTCCGACTTAATTAAAAATAGTGGCATTTTCTTTCTATTTGTTTTGTATACTTTCACAGTTTTGGTCTATAAGTGCATTGATTTGCTCTTTTTATAATGTTTTGCTCCTGGTAAAGTTGTTTACTTTAGTAATATTGGATTTCTCCATTATAGTTTTTGATCTTGTCGTAATGGTTTGCGAGAAGATCACTAGTTTGCTCTAATTATAATGCATTGCTCCAGTTATTCTTGTTTTCTCTTATCATAATGGTTTGTTCCTAGTTAATTTGTTTGCTCTGATTAAAATGGATATCTCCAGGTACACTTGTTTGCTCTTGTTATAATATATTGCCCTCATCTAAACTTGTTTGCTTTTGTTATAATGATTTGCTTGGGGTACACTTTTTTGCTCTAGTTATAATGATTTGCTCCAGGTACACTTCTTTGCTCTTATTATAATGGTTTACTCAAGGTACACTTGTTTGCTCTAGTTATAATGATTTACTCCAGGTACACTTCTTTGCTCTTATTATAATGGTCTACTCAAGGTACACTTGTTTGCTCTAGTTATTATGAATTTCTCCAGGTACACCAGTTTTTTCTTGCTATATTGGTTTGCTCCAGGTACACTTGTTTTCTCTAGTTATAATGGATTTCTCATGGTACACAAGTTTTACCTTGTTATGCTGGTTTGCTCTAGTAACAATGGTTTTGCTCTAAATAAATTGGTTCGCTTTTTTTGATATTTTGCTCATGGTATTTTGTCTTGGTTTAGATGTAATAGTTTGCTCCAGTTTTACTGGTTTGCCCTAGATTGGTTTGCGTAATGTTGAATAGATGTTGGGAACTATTATTCATTTGTAAAATACCTGAGTCATCAATTGTTTATTTTTATATTGAACTTACTGTTTATTTTTGCCCTTGGATGAATTGTTTTATATTTTTAGGTGCTTTTATGCAGCAGGGAATAGATATAACTCCTAGATCTGTATCTGGCAGGATAGTCGGTAATTTTTCATTCATTATTTCATTATTTTATCCATGTAAAACATAAAACCCTTCGAACAATGGGACTTAATAATCGTTAAAACCCCAAAAACATGTCCCAAACCATGATTTATGTATCCGTCCATTCAATTATTCATTCATTCATTCATCCTATTCATCCTTTCATCCTATTCATCCTTTCATCCATTCTTCCATTTTTTATCTCAATTATTTAATTCATTATTTTAATCAGCTAATTAAATTTCTATCTTTCATTCATTTTTGTTCCTTTCTTTGAAGTAAATTTTACTCTGAATGGAAATCTTGCATTGTTTTAATCAAAACTCCTTTTATTGAAACAAACTTCCATATTTATATATACTTTTTTGTTTGTATCCCACTGTGATTTAAAGGTTTTAAGCTCTCAAGCAAAAATCGATGAGAATTTTGCAAAGGAATTGAGTCCTTGCAACAAATTCTGATTTTCTAATCCCTATATCTTTTGAACCATATGTCATAAACCTTTGATATTTCAAACTTATATTATTTAATCTAACAGAAGTCATAGTTTGATTATTAACTCGTTAGCCGTGTTTCTACTAAATGATATTCATTTATTTCTGTATAGTTCTGTAGCTTAAGTTTTGAAACGAAATGGGCTCCATTATATATAGAATAGTGCTCTTTTATATTTATTTATAAGAAATATTTTCTCTCTTTCAGAAAACTAAACATTTCTCAGTTTTCTTTTTGTAAAGTATAAAACCTTGTAAGCATTAGCCAGGTTCTTTAACTTGAAACCACACTCCTAGGTAAAATATTAAAAAACTTTAATCTAAAAATTTCAATTCAGATTCCGGGCTCAAAAATTTCTTTCCTTCTTTCAAGAGACTGTATACGTTATTTCAAGAAACTCTCCATTTAAAAAAAATTCAATTTAGTTTCCATGGCTCAAAATCTATAGAATTATCTTAAAAACTAAACTTCAAGACTTGATTAAAATCGCCAAATCGGTAACTGCATGTTCTATTCACAATTGTATCATTTTTACCTCTATATATGAGCGCTTTTCTTTAATGTGCTATTTCTATGCTATCTTTCTGTAATTCTACTATGCTAACAATCTATAATTCTATGCAATCTATCTATATCTCTATTCTTTCTATCTATATTTCTATGCTATTTATCAATACATCTATGCTATCTATCTATATTTCTATTCTATATATCTATATTTATATTCTATCTATCTGTGTTTCTAGTCTAACTTTCTATACGTCTATTCTAATTATCTATATTTCTATGCAATCTATCTATATTTCTATACTTTCTATCTATATTTCTATGCTGTCTTTCAATATTGATATACTATCTATCTATATTTCTATTATATCTATCCTTCTATTCTAAATATCTATATTTCTATGCTATATATCAATATTTCTATGCAATCTATCTGTATTTCTACTATGCTAACAATCTATATTTATACGCTAACTATCTATATTTCTATTCTGACTATCTATATTTCTATGCTATCTATCTATATTTCTATTTTAACTATCTATATTTCTATGCTACCTATCTATATTTCTATTCTAACTATCTATATTTCTATACTATCTATCTATATTTCTATGCTATCTATCCCTGAATCTGTAGTTTATAAACCAGAGCCACCTTTGCAATAAAAGAAATGGAGAAAAAATTCCCTACGGATGGATCTAGTAGCACTGTAGCACCACCAGTATATATAGTTTATCCTGTATAGTGTATATATATATAGTTTATCCTTTATATATTGGGAAAGAGGACTTTACATAAAGATCAGAATTTACTAGCTTACTCAGATATATAAATATATATTTACAATCTTACTCAGATATATAGATATATATTTACAATCTTACTCAGATATATAAATATATATTTACCATCTTACTCAGATATATAAATATATATTTACTATCTTACTCAGATAAATATATATTTACTATCTTACTCAGATAGATATATATTTACAATCTTACTTAGATATATAAATATATATTTACTATCTTACTCAGATAAATATATATTTACAATCTTACTTCTTACACTAAATTTATTACAGGAAAGGAGGCGTGAAACGCCCTAAAAGTCTAGGAACTTAAAAATGGCTTACACTAAATTACACTAAAAATCTGGAACTTTTCACTTTCAATTAATTGATTATATTCTACTCACATACTGAAGAGCGTCCCATATCATATTAAATTAACTCCAAGCTTTAACGCCATAAAAAACACATAATACTAGAAAAACCTAAAATTTTATGCAAGAAAATTTTTATATAAACCTTATTTAATTTTATGAAATGATTTATTCTTCTAAAAATTTCTTATTAGTGCCGAAAAACGTAAATTAGACTCATCATGACGATCTAATATGATATGATATGGGACACCCAATAGGTTGTGTTTGGTGGTTCTATTCTATTCACTTAATAGTTTATATTTTACTCACTAGGTGGTGTTTGGTGGATTTGGTGGTTCTATTTTATTCATTTAATAGTTGATATTTTGCTCACTAGGTGGTGTTTGGTGGTTCTTATCTATTCATTTAAAAGATGATATTTTACTCACAAAGTGGTGTTTGGTGGTTCTATTCTATTCATTTAATAGTTGATATTTTACTTACTAGGTGGTGTTTGGTGGTTCTATTCTATTCATTTAATAGTTGATATTTTACTTATTAGGTGGTGTTTGGTGGTTCTATTCTATTCATTTAATAGTTGTTATTTTACTCACTAGGTGGTGTTTGGTGGTTCTTTTATTCATTTAATAGTTGATATTTTACTCACTAGGTTGTGTTTGGTGGTTCTATTCTATTCATTTAATAGTTGATATTTTACTCACTAGGTGGTGTATGGTGGCTCTATTCTATTTACTTAATAGTTTATATTTTACTCACTAGGTTGTGTTTGGTGGATTTTGTGGTTCTATTTTATTCTTTTAATAGTTGATATTTTACTCACTAAGTGGTGTTTGGTGGTTCATTTAGCCATTTCTGGTTGTTTTGATTGGCTGAACCTCCAAAAGTTTATTCATATACCCATACATACATTTATTAGTTTATATTTTACTCACTAGGTGGTGTTTGGTGGTTCTTTTCGCTTATCCTCATATCTTCTTACACAGCGAACCTGGCGGCTTTTCTAACTGTGGATAGGTATTTTTTTCATTCTTTAGCTAAATATTACATTCTACATTCTACATTCTTTCATTTTTCATGCCATCCTGCATCAATTTCATGTGATTTCCTGCTAAATTTCCTGCCTTCATGTATTATTCTTGAATTCTTTATAATTCCCTAATGTTGGTTGCATCGGATTGTCTTGTTCCACTTGAAATAATCTAATTTCCTGTCTTTATTCTTCTTATTTTTTCTTCTCTTTGTATAGATTAGGTTTTCATATTTTTGGTTCCATTTTATTACCTTCTTTTATATATTTTTATCTTTCAAAGGGACTGTAGACGTAATTTTAAAAGACCCTTAATTAAAGGGAATGTCCAATTCGCAACCGTATCCTGCAATTTGATCAAGGGTGAATGATTTATCTGCATTATCTCTATTGAAATTGCTTTTTCAATTAAATTTTTAATTTCAATAACTTGAAATTATTTCTATAGTCCCTTTTATCCAAAAAGGAGACTGATATAATACTTTTTCCACCCCAAAAGAATTTTAAAACACAATATTTCCGAATGAATAAAAAAAGAATCTATAATGAGTTGAAAAAAATCTTTTAAAAATAACTATATCTTGAAAATACTAAAAACAACCAAAGTAAAACAATCTTTACAATTTACAGAACTATAATTAGATCTTGACAAAATAATGACAGATTCAGCCAAAAAGAGTCCTTTCTTTTTGTATAATAGTTTTTCTTTATAACTAAAAGCACAATTTAACGAAACATTCCTAATACGCAACTCCTACAAACCCTTATCCTCATCTACAACTCTCCTCTTCCTACCATCTAACCTTCTCACAAGCAGCGAAATGAGACTCGAGGACATTTCTCAGTTGGATCCTACAACAAAATTACCTCTGACCGGGTCACTGGATTATCCTTCGTTGAATATCAACCCTCCTTAGGAATCTAAAAATTTGCGGTTCATAGCAGGAAAGCTATTGCTCCCTCGCTACAAAACTAACTTGAAGTACGCTAGAAGTGATGACCTTGCCAATGCAAGTAGACAGAATGTTCAGCACTGAGGCTGCAATTAAAATTAAGCAAAAAAACAAAACGGAGAGGGGTACATCTATACAATGAAAGGTTGATCTTGCACTGTCTTAAAATAGCGCAAAGACGGCACGGCTACTAGTAAACATTCTTCCAAAAGCAGCGCCAAAAATGGACGGGCAAAGGGAGGCAAGAAAAAGGGAAAGTGCGGACGTTCAGATGGAGAAAGGAGAAAAAAAGATGATTGATGAACATTTGAAATTATTAACTATGCCTCGTACCATTTTATTTTAAAAAATTATAAAAAATAAATTATAAAAACATTGTTAAAAAAGCACAATTTGCTGAATTTTTATGAAAAGATTATTTAAAATCTCCTTAAATATAATTGTAGAAATAAGAATAAAATGATTAATCTTTAAGGAAACCATGATTATTTGCCTTAAAGTATAATTTTCTAATCCACATATCTTTGCAACCTGATGTTGTAAACCTTTAATCTTTTAAACTTAGCATATTTGATCTAACAGAATTCATTGTTTAAAATATTAAAGGTCTACAACATCAGGTTGAAGCCAAGAGGTAAGATTTAAATGTATGTTTGATGAGAGTAATCAGTTTCTTTGAATTGACCCTGTCTATTAAGAATGGTTGCTCCGATTAACTCCGCTGACGACCTTGCAGCTCAGACTGAGATTGAGTATGGAGCTCTGGATGGAGGTTCTACCGTCGCATTTCTTAAAAACTCAAAGATCTCAGTTTACTCCAGGTAAATCAATCCGTGAAAAGAGCTGTGAACTTTTGTTGGAGGAGAAAATAAAAACTTTTAAATTCAGGAGTTTAGCCAGTAAGGCATGATAGAAATAAAAGAATGTCATGTGATTTCTTGTCTTCTTAGTGATCGAAAGGTTTATTCTGTTTTAATCCTGACTCATATTTTCTTAACTGGAGTATGGTTAAATTAGTATTGGAGTAAGGATGGATTAGTACTTGAGTATGGTTAAATTAGTACTGGAGTAAGGTTGGAATAGTTTGGATTGGCTTGAAGATCTTCCCAGTTAATTATCTTGTAGATAACTAACCTAACTTATCCTAATTACACATAAACTCTCTAATATCTTTAATTACATTACCAGCAACTACAGTTCCATTCTACCAAACATTTCTACAGTTCCTTTCTACTTAACATATCTACATTCTACAGTTCCATCCTACTAAGCATGTCTACAGTTCCATTCTACTAAACATATCTACAGTTCCATTCTACTAAACATATCTACATTCTACAGTTCCATCCTACTAAACATGTCTACAGTTCCATTCTACTAAACATATCTACAGTTCCATTCTACTAAACATATATACAGTTCCATTCTACTAAACATATCTACAGTTCCATTCTACTAAACATATCTACAGTTCCATTCTACTAAACATATCTACAGTTCCATTCTACTAAACATATCTACAGTTCCATTCTACTAAACATATCTACAGTTCCATTCTACTAAACATATCTACAGTTCCATTCTACTAAACATATCTACAGTTCCATTCTACTAAACATATCTACAGTTCCATTCTACTAAACATATCTACAGTTCCATTCTACTAAACATATCTACAGTTCCATTCTACTAAACATATCTACAGTTCCATTCTACTAAACATATCTACAGTTCCATTCTACTAAACATATCTACAGTTCCATTCTACTAAACATATCTACAGTTCCATTCTACTAAACATATATACAGTTCCATTCTACTAAACATATCTACAGTTCCATTCTACTAAACATATCTACAGTTCCATTCTACTAAACATATCTACAGGTCCATTCTACTAAACATATCTAAAATTCCATTCTACTAAACATATCAAAAGTTCCATTCTACTAAACATATCTACAGTTCCATATTACTAAACATATCTACAGTTCCATTCTACTAAACATATCTACAGTTCCATATTACTAAACATATCTACAATTCCATTCTTCTAAACATAACTACAGTTCCAATCTACCAAACATGCCTACAGTTCCATTCTACTAAACATATCTACTGTTCCATTCTACTAAACCTATCTACAGTTCCATTCTATAACCAAACATATTTACAGTTCCATTCTACTAAACATATCTACTGTTACATTCTACTAAACCTATCTACAGTTCCATTCTATAACCAAACATATATACAGTTCCATTCTACTAAATATTTCTGCAATTCCATTCTACTAAACATGTCTTCAGTTCCATTCTACTAAACATATCTACAATTCCATTCTACTAAACATATCTAAAGTTCCATTCTACTAAACATATCTACAGTTCCATACTACTAAGCATATCTACAATTCCGTTCTTCTAAACATATCTACAGTTCCATTCTACTAAACATATCTACAGTACCATTCTACTAAACCTATCTACAGTTCCATTCTACTAAACATATCAACAGTTCCATTCTACTAAACCTATCTACAATTCCATTCTACTAAACATATCTGCAATTCCATTCTACTAAACATATCTACAGTTCCATTCTACTAAACAGATCTACAGTTTCATACTACTAAGCATATCTACAGTTCCATTCTACTAAACATATCTACAGTTCCATTCTACTAAACATATCTACATTATACAGTACCTAACTTTTTACATTTATCCTTCAAGCATGTCAAAAATCTTCAAATTTAGAAAAGTAACCATTTTCTTTTTTTTGCCAAAATTCTTTTTATGCTAAATATCTTTTCTTTGATGGTCTTCTCCAGTTGATATCCTTAAATATTCCTCTTTTCTTTCATCTTATACTTTGGAAAACCCAAAGAAATTGAGCTATGGCCTATGAGGGTATTGCATTTCAGAACTTTTTATTCTGCAGGATTTCCTAATCTTTACTTTAGGATTTCCTAATCTTTAATTTAGAACTTCCTAATCTTTATTTCAAGGTTTCCTAATCTTTACTTTCGGATTTCATAATCTTTACTTTAGGATTTCCTAATCTTTACTTTAGGACTTCCTAATGTTATACTTCAAAGTTTCCTAATCTATACTTCAAGGTTTCTTAATCTACATTTAAGGTTTCCTAATCTTCACTTTAAGGTTTCCTATTCTAAACTTCAGGGTGTCCTAATCTAAACTTCAGGGTTTCCTAACCTAAACTTTAGGGTGTCCAAATCTAAACTTCAGGGTTTCCTAATCTAAACTTAGGGTTTCCTAATCTAAACTTCAGGGTGTCCAAACCAAAACTTCAGGATGTCCTAATCTTAACTTCAGGGTGTCCCAACCTAAACTTCAGGGTGTCCTAATCTAAACTTCAGGGTTTCCTAATCCTGAATTTCCAATTTCCTAATTCGTACAACAAGATATTGCAACATGTACTCCAGGATTTCTTACTTAAAATTTAACAAAATTACATTTTAAAAGGAAGTATCCGTCAAGTGAAGTAAATAAACATTTTTGTTTAACAATTTTTTTAGAATTGAAAGCACAAAATATATTCTATTCGTCAGTAAATGTACAACATTGGTGTTTACTGGTTCAGATGAAAATTCGATAAAGGAAAATACGGTTTATGCATTCACATGTAATATAATACAATGCCCTCATAACTAAATAAACTTGTAATAAAAACCAAATTAAATTAATTTCCCGTTTTGGTTTCAGAATTAAATTGGTTTTTGTTCTACATAGTTCTAATGTTAGTTCTAATTCTAGTTCTAGTTCTAGTTCTAGTTCTAGTTCTAGTTCTAGTTCTAGTTCTAGTTCTAGTTCTAGTTCTAGTTCTAGTTCTAGTTCTAGCTCCAAGAAGTTCAATGGTACCACATATTTATTCTAGTAAACAATTCGACTGAAGTTATGAAGACAATAAAGCCAAGGATAGAAGCAGTGCACATTGAACAGTTAGGACACAGTTACATTCTTTCATTCTTTTAGGATTAAACTTTAGGATTATCTCTGCAGTGGAATATCTAGGAATAAAGAGAAATATTGATGTTATAATTAGGAAAAAAGAGGAATATTTATCTTTATAAAGAATATTTTATTCAGGATGTGGGAATTTATGTCATCGAGACCATCAGTGTTAGCTTTAAGTACTGCCGAAGGAATACTTCGTGTTAGGAATTTAAATCAATCAATCTAATCAAACGATAATTATTTAGTAAATCAATTTATTTAATCAAAAATCAATTATATAAACCTTTTTATGCTCAACAAGTGTTCAATGCATTTATTCTGTTATTCATTCTAAATAATGTAAAAATATGCATTAAAAAACGCCTTACAACTTTTTCTCATAAGTTGATTGGTTTGGTTTTGTAGAGAATCTAAGGGAAAATATGCTTTTCTTATTGAGTCTTCCACTAATGAATATGTGAATGAACGCCAACCCTGCGACACTATGAAGGTTTGTAATTGACTCCTAAACTAACTAATATGTAAATGAACGTCAACCCTGCGACACTATGAAGGTTTGTAATTGACTTCTAAACTAACTAATATGTAAATGAACGTCAACCCTGCGACATTATGAAGGTTTGTAATTTTTTTGAAATCTAAATATTTATTGTCTTTTTAAATTGTACAAAATAGTTTACGTGTAATCGACAAATTCGTTTACATTTTTTTAGATTTGTGAAATAAATACAAAATTGTTTACATGTGTTTACATTTTTTTTTGATGGAACAACCTCAGGCCATCTTGTAGTCCTGTCTATCATGGTTAGAAGATAAGAATGGCCTTGACTGGAGGGTAGAGGACCCACAATATCAACATGAACATGAGAAAACCTTCTGGTTGGAACTGGAATAGATGGAACAGTAGAATGAATGTGAGTTGAAACTTTGGATTTTTGGCAAGGAATACAGGATTTTGTCCACAACCCGACATCTCGAGACATTCCTGGCCAGACAAACCTTGACGAGATTAATCTCCTGGATGCTCTGACACCAGGGTGAGACACACCATGTAGCTGTTCAAACAGTTTACGTAGTTGAAGAGGAACCAGAGGGCGAAGAGAACCGGTTGAAATATCACATAGAACTTCTCCTGAACTCAGAGGATGAACAATCACTGACAGAGAAGGGTTTGATTTCATCTCTTGTACGGACGAACAGGCAATCTGGAACCTGGATAAACTTGAAACATCCAAACCATCAAACACTGGTTTACTTGAAGGATCTCCGCCCGGAGCTGGGACCAAGGCGGATGTAAAATCCTTTTTATCACTAGTTAGAAACACTGTAGGAAAGGAACTCGAAACTTCCGTCATCTCCGACACCTCCGGCACCTCCGACACCTCCGACACCTCCGACACCTCCGACACCACAGGAGGCAAAGAACCAGGGGCTGGAAAGGCGTGAGGCTTAACAGGCTTAGACGGAGATTGGAAGGAACTTGGAGCAGGGTTTAAATTGGAGCAAGGTTTAGTTGGACTCGGAGAAACTGAGGACGGATTTGACTCAGGGTTTGGAGCAGGGTTTGAATTGGAGCAAGGTTTAGTTGGACTCGGAGATAATGAGGACGGATTTGACTCAGGGTTTGGAGAGGAGCTGGGCGAAACAGGCCGGGACAGAGCGTCAGCTACAACATTTTCTTTGCCAGGAATATGAACAATGGAGCTAGTAAATTCTGCCAGGTACGATAGGTGTCTCTGCTGACGAGCTGACCACGGAGGACTTGACCTGAACAAAGCATGAGTTAATGGCTTGTGGTCAGTAAATATTGTAAACTCTCTATGTTCAAGCATGAAGCGGAAGTGACGAACAGAAGAGTAAGCAGCCAGGAGTTCTCTGTCGAATGCGGAGTACTTCTTCTCAGCGTCGGAAAGTTTCTTGGAGAAGAAAGCCAGCGGAGACCAAGATTTATCCGGGAGTTGTTGTTGAAGGACAGCTCCTATGTGTGAGTCTGAGGCATCCACAGCAAGAGAGATTGGCGCGTTGCATTGAGGATGCACTAACTCCGGAACAGATGAGAGGAGTTTCTTTGCACTAGAGAAGGCGGAGTCCATGAGTGGAGTCCAGGTGATGGTTTTTCCAGGACCCTTAAGAGCGTCTGTGAGAGGAGCAATGATTTGAGCTGCGGAACGGAGAAACTTCCTGTAAAAATTAACCATTCCGAGAAACCTCTGGAGGCTGGGCTTGTCTGTTGGCTGTGGAAAGGCGGAGATAGCGGCGGAGTGCTTCGTCAAGGGAGAACAACCAGAGGCGGTGAGGCAATGACCAAGGAACTCAATCTCCTCCACAGCAAACTGGCACTTAGGCAGGCCAATAGTGAGACCATATTCACGACAGAGGAGAAACACGTCCCGGAGATGCTGGACGTGAGAGGTCAGATCTTTATTAAAGACGAGGATATCATCCACGTACACGAAACAGTAAGGAAGGTCTCCTAAGATCTGATCCATTAAGCGCTGGAATGTGTTCCCAGCGTTCCGTAAGCCAAAAGGCATTACCAAGAACTCAAACATCCTGAAGGGGGTGATGATGGCGGTCTTCTGGACGTCCTCCGGCTCGACTGGTACCTGATAATATCCCTTCTGAAGATCCAGTTTAAAAAAAACAGATGAACCACTGACTCGGGAGGTGAAATCGGCGATGTTGGGGAGCGGATAACGGTCTGGAACGGTGGCAGTGTTAAGACAGCGGTAATCGCCGCAGGGTCTCCATCCTCCATCCTTCTTCTTTACCATATGTAGTGGAGAGGCCCAAGGAGAAGTGGAACGGCGGATAATACCGGCTTTCTCCATGGCGGAAAACTCTGCTTTAGCTACAGTGAGTTTGGCAGGATCTAAACGGCGGGCTTTGGCAAAAACTGGCGGTCCAGGCTTGGTGAGGATATGATGACGAACTTGATGGCGTGGAGGAGCAGCAGTAAAACCATCAGACTGCAGGACATCAGGAAACTCCTGCAGAAGGTCAGACACGCACTGAGGAGTGGAGAGAAAAGCGGCTTGCATAGATGATGTAGAAGGTGGCGGTGAAGAGGACAGATCAACGGACAAACTTCTAGATGCACTGGTTGAAAACACTTTCTTGCTTCTCACGTTCACACTGAGGTCATGATGCTGGAGAAAATCTGCTCCAAGGATGGGAACAGAAACTGGAGCCAATTGAAAAGTCCATGAACAATTCCATGTTCCAAAACGTAGAGGAATAATCCTGGAACCTGAACAGGTTAAAGTTGAACCGTTTGCAGTGAGTAACTGAACACCAGAGGATGTGGACGAGGCTGGGGCTGGAAAAACTGATATCGAGGCACCAGTGTCGACTAAAAACCGGCGATTAGAGAGTAAATCATGTAGGTAAATGAGAGCAGAACCTGTTGAACCGGCAGGCAGGGAGAGGGCATCCTCCTGCCGGTGTTCTAGTTTCCCGACCATGAACAGGGGCTCTGACAGCTGAGGGCCTTCGTACCGAACTTGGCGTGGTACCAACAAGAAGATGGTGAAGTTGAATGGCGGGAAGGAGCTGCAGGAGTCTGGGAACGGCGGGTAAAAGGGCTAGACGCTCGCTGTGAACGTTGAGGTCGTCGGTTCTGTCGTGAAGAAGGTGCATTCACAGCATGAACCGAGTCCACAGCATTGACCGATGATCTGGAAGACAGACTGCTTCGGTAGATCTCGTCAGCACGTTGCGAGAGAACAGCGATGTCCACAGTTTTATCATGCACTAGATGTGACCTGACATCAGATGGAAGTTGTCTAAGGAAAGCGTAGCGAAGGAACAAACATTCTTGATGCTCTATAGGAAGAAGAGCCCGCATCCTGGACAATAACGCTGAGGGCAACATGTCTCCAGACAAGGGAAGAGACATAATTGATTCACAACGAGCATAATCTGTTAAGGAATGTGTCTGTAACAAACGAGACTTGAGAGCACTGTAAGGGTCAGCTGCAGGTGGGTTCCTGATGATGTCGACAACATTATCGATTTCCTTCTGGGGTAAAGACGCCACAACATGATGGAACTTGGTGCTGCTGGCGGTGATGTTCTTGAGATGGAACTGTGACTCTGCGTTAATGAACCAGGATTCGCAACTGTCAGGCCAGAACACAGGAAGCTTCAGAGCAACAGCATAAAGATGGCTGGACTGGTTCTCAGCGTCCACAGATAAAGCTGGATCTCCAGGCATCGTGACGCTGAAAAATAACACTGTCGAACTAGTTTTTCGTTTACTGTAAGAGCCTGTGAATAAAACAGGGAGGCAGACTTACTTTTCAGACTTTTCAGACAAACTGCACAACACGGTGGGTTGTTTCACTTTTAGGACTTAAGAAAACGTATTCAAAAATGTCCGGGGTGACCAATTTGGCGATCAGCTAAATAAACTTAGAAAGGTTCAAGATTAACTAACTATATATTTATATCTAAGTTACATGGTTGAAAAGTTCGGTGAATCATGTGGCTCAGGAAACTCCCCCTTAGCTTTTCAGCTGCCGCGGAGAATTCTCCAAGAAGGACGACTTTCATAACCACCACAGATCTGTATAAGGGTTAAATACGTACATTTCTTAAATTAGAAATTTGGACTTAAGGATACTTGGATCCTGCAAGACATATAAATTGAAGAGTGCAACAGTGAAGTCGTAGAGAATTAAATGCATATAATAAGTCATTGACGATAAGAGGGTATGCGAATAGAATAGAAATTTTTAATATAAGAATCGTCTGCATATAATTTGGGTTTGTAATTGACTCCTAAACTAACTAATATGTAAATGAACGTCAACCCTGCGACACTATGAAGATTTGTAATTGACTCCTAAACTAACTAATATGCAAATGAACATCAACCCTGCAACACTATGAAGGTTTGTAATTGACTCCTGAACTAACTAATATGTAAATGAACGCCAACACTGTGACACTATGAAGGTTTGTAATTGACTCCTAAACTAACTAATATGTAAATAAACGTCAACCCTGCGACACTATATAGGTTTGTAATTGACTCCTAAACTAACTAATATACATAAATGAACGTCAACCCTGCGACACTATGAAGGTTTGTAATTGACTCCTAAACTAACTAATATGTAAATGAACGTCAACCCTGCGACACTACGAAGGTTTGTAATTGACTCCTGAACTAACTAAAATGTAAATGAAAGTCAACCCTGTGACACTATGAAGGTTTGTAATTGACTCCTGAACTAACTAAAATGTAAATGAACGTCAACCCTGCGACACTACAAAGGTTTGTAATTGACTCCTGAACTAACTAATATGTAAATGAACGTCAACTCTGCGACACTACGAAGGTTTGTAATTGACTTCTGAACTAACTAAAATGTAAATGAAAGTCAACCCTGTGACACCATGCAGGTTTGTAATTAAGTCCTTAACTAATGAATATGTAAGTTAATGCCCAGACTAATGAACTAATGAATATGTGATTGATTGCCCACCCTGCGACATCGTGAAAGTTTGTAATTAAATCCTAAAATAATAAATGTCTGAGTGAACCCCAACACTAAGACAATAAAGGTTTGTAATAAAGTTCATAACTAATGATTATGTGAATGAACACCAACTCTGTAGAACCATCATGGTAAGTAGTTGAGTCTTCAATTAATGAATATGTGAATGCGAAACACCATCATCTATATAACTATAATAGGTAGGAAAGAACCTAGATGCCAAGGGGTATGGAATAGCTACTTCTCGAGGTTCAGGATTAAAGGATATTATAAACCTGGCTGTTCTAAACCTGACTGAGAATGGAGATCTAGCTAAACTCAAGAACAGATGGTGGTATGACAGGTCAGTGAGTTTATCTTGATCTTCCAGAGTTTGGACTTTTGTATTCTTAATCCAGTAATAAAGCACTAAGGCGTGTTTACTCCAATAGTTTAAGCTAATTCCTTCTGGTTGTCAGTTTTTTTCGTGGATTAAATAATTTCGCACTTTAAAATAAAAGTTTCCATTGTAGATATTGTGTTTTGGCATTGTAGTCCTTAAGTTCCGACTACAGTATTTATACAATATCTGGTTCATGCACTTACAGTATAATTTACACTAACAAACTGCATTGCTTCCTTTGTTCTTTCTTCTATTCAATAATCTTATCTGTACACAGTTGTAGAACTATAGAACTGTAGTACTATAGAACTGTAGAACCGTAGAACTGCAGAAATGTATAACTCTGTAGAATATAGAACTGTATAACTGTAGTAGAGTGTAGAGCCGGAGAACTATAAACTATATAACTGTAGTACTGTATAACTGTAGAAATGTATAACAGTGTAACTGTAGGACTGTATAACTATAGAATGGTAGTACTGCAGTATACTGTAGAGCTGTAGAACAGTAGAACTGTAAAACTATAGAATGGTAGTACAGTAGATCTGTAGAACTATAAGAACTATGGAACTATAGAACTGGGGAAGTAAAAAAGGAAATGGTTATAGTTGTTTATTTATAAATTCCTTTCTTTTCTCAAAAATTGTCTTTTGTATAGAAAAATACTATGGCATTTGTTTACAAAAATTAACAATTTATAACAAAAAATTGCTTAATTTTGTTTTTTAACCTTTTTTTCTTATTTGTTTAGATCTGAATGTAAAAAAGAGAAGGAGAAAGCTGCTAAAAGTGAATTATCTCTTAGCCATGTTGCTGGCATTTTCTATATTCTCATCTGTGGACTTGTTCTGGCAATGATAACTGCGCTAATTGAGTTCTGCTATAAAGCTAGTACAGAGAGTAAGAAAGCCAAGGTTCCAATGTCGGACGCAATGAAGAATAAGGCAAGATTGGCACTCTCAGGTGGACGAGATATTGATAGAATTATGCTCTATGGAGATTCATCCGCCTTGTGAGATTTAAAACCAGAGGATAAATTAATAGGACGCCATCCACCCATTTCTTCCGCAAACCCCCCTCCCTTCCTTAGATATCCTTTTCCTCCTCAAACCCTCCCTCTAGAAACATCATCGCCTCCCCCACCAGCTTTCCGCTAACCCTCCAACATTCCTTTCTTTCTCAAATACTTCCTTTAGAATCATCATCATATCCTAAATCACCAGCTTTCTGCTAAGAGGGATAGCTTTTCATTCTCCAACCCTCCCTTTAGAGTCATCATCCCCTAAATCCCCAGATTCTATAAACCCTTTACCTTCCTTTCTTTCCTGTCTTTCCTCCTTAAACCCTCCCTTTAGTAACATTATGCCCTCCTCCAAGCACTGGCTTTTCGCTAAACCCTCCAATTTACCTTCCCTCCACGAACCCTCCCTCTAGTAACATTATATCCTCCACTATGCACTGGCTTTCTACAAGCTCTCTTCATGTCCCCAAAATTCCACAATCCTCTATTCAAACCTACTCTTAGAAACATCATCCAATATCTGTTTCACCTCAAACCCTACCTTAGAAACATCATCCAATATCTGTTTCACCTCAAACCCTACCTTAGAAACATCATCCAATATCTGTTTCACCTCAAACCCTACCTTAGAAAAATCATCACCACATCTACTAATTTTCCACCAACATGAAGCCAAACCTTTAAACCAGTTTCCCAACAACAAAACCCCTTCACTGTTCCCTTTAAAAGATTAAGGTGGATGAGCACATCACCTGGAGCATCTATTCAGAACCTAAAATTCTCCCATTTTCTTTTACATCCCACTTTTCACCCACTCAATCCCCCCTCCATATTGTCTTTCTAATTCTATTCTGTACCAAGATCAAATATCCAAGTGTTTTTCTTCTAGGATAGTGGAATTTTTATCTTTACCGCAGAAATGATATTTTCTACATTTCTGGATAATATTCAATCTTTTATATCCCGTGAAATGGCAAACTGTTAAATATGATTACATGCACAGAGATATGAATCCACTTAGTTTTTACCCAGTTATCCATAAATTGAAATATTATAGATGAATAAAACTCCCTTTCAATTACTCTCTTTCTCTCTACAAACCTCTTTAAAAAACTGGATTTTCTTCAGAATTCCCTCTCAAGAACTGGTTTACCTCTATATTCCCTTTCAACAGCTGGTTTACCTCCTATTACCTTCCTGGTTTAAATCCTAAATACCCTTTAAATAACCTATTTCCCTAAACACCTTCCTTTCAAACTTTTTCCCATAACTTCTTTGCAATAACTGGTTTCCCTCTAGAATTCCTTTTCAGTAACTATTTTCAAGATAATAATACACAAAAATATGTTCTATTGAAATTGTCCTCTGGTTATTTCTAGCGTATAATGAAACAATGAGTTTTCTTTTTAAATTCAGGAGTTGTGTTTTGTTACGCGAAAGTTTGCTTTCATCTCTTACCAAAAAAAAGTTATGTACAATTTCATAATGTTGACGGAGTGTAATTAAACTTTTTTAAACCTCAAAAGCTCATTGCTAAATCAAATGTTATCAGTATTTTTTAAAGCGCAAATAGATCTTATTTTAGTTAAAAAGAGAGTTCAGAGAGCTGCGATTAAAATGTTAAATTGTGACCATGGTCAATAATACTAGAAATTAGGATGTACATATTTAAAATACCGAGACACCCCATGACTGCATGTTTCTGATACTCACTGCTTAAAAAAATGTGTACACACAGCAAGAACATTATTTTTTCACAATTCAAAAATGTTTAGCGCGGCCATTTTGATTTTAAACAGATCACAAATCAAACTAGGCTGGCTAATATTCATACTTTTTAAAAAAAATTCTCCAATCAAGTTTTAAACTTATTATTAAATGCAGTTTGATATGACAAGAAAAAGAGTATGTTTATATGATTAGTTAGATCTAAATTAATGTTACCATTTTTCCATACTTAACACAAGTTTGAGGTATAAAATTGAGTGAGAGTTAAAGAAACCTAAGCACATAAAAATTGAAGACATGTTTCATGATAAAGGTGATAGGTCATGAAAAAATATATATTTAGTTTTGTATAATTGAATAGACTGAACCAAACTGTATCAACTAAATCACTTAGAAATAATAGTTTTTGGTTTCAGACAAAATACGCATTTTCATGATTTTTTTTAACAAATTGCTCAAAATATCCTTTTTAAAACAATGCAGAAAAGTGGAATTCCTATTTTTGTCTTGTTTACTCTATGGATTCTCACCATATTTAGCACCAATGCAGCTCAAAATAGGTATAAGTCTAATCCACTTACTGAGAAATTGAAGTTTGTTTTTAAACTATAAACTGAATTTATGATGGTGTATCTTTCGACCTACGCAAATCTGCTACACTCCACTTCTGACCAACAGCACGTGGTTTTACAGCTCCATGGACTTGTAGCCACAGCGTCCGGCCCCCTAGTCTGTCCTAGCCGTAGTGCTCGGACCAGAAATTGTCTTAACCTAACCTAACCCTAAAATAATGCAAAAATAAACAGCCGGCGTAGGTTAGATATTGCAATAGGTCGGAAAGTTAGTAGGTCAGAAGTTCAGTAGGGGTGATGTTGCGTATAGACGATTTAACGTTACCAATTTGTTTCTCGACTCGCACCGGTCCTTATCCTGTTTACATCTTTAAAGCGGACCTGTGCATAAAAATTAAACATTTCACCATTGATCTATTTTTTATACTGTAATTCAGGAAACATAAGCTAATTGTAAAAATTTGTCTCTTTGTAAATAGATAACCTAATCTTGGTGAATGCAAGTGTACAACTTAATAGTTAATACATTCTAAAAGTGTACACTGACTGTCACTGACACAATATACGTGTATGTTGTAAATATGAGATGTACTCCATGATACCCAATCATTTCTTGTGTTTTTTCATTTGTCCTTTCATTGAACTTTTTGTCTTGTAATGTAGATTTAAAGCTTCAGAAAATTTTTGAAAACTAGTTCTCTAATAAACAAAATTATGGTTATAAAACTGTAGTAAACCTAACATCAATATTTTAGCCAAATTAAAGACATTTCTAAAAACCTTCAGACTTAATTAAAATATAGGGTTTAAATTTGCTCATGCAGTATTTAATAAATGTACCCTCCATAATATAAGGCTATAATATTGTTGATTATCTCTCATATTAAATTGTCATTTTGTAAGCAACCTGTAATATTGTATACAGCAAAAACGGAAATTCTAACATTTACTCCAATAAAACTAAAAAAAAATCAAAATAATTTCTGAACTACTTTCAAAAGCGTTACAAAATTTACTGTTAGATATTCTTAAAAAATATTAAGGAATTGTTTGTAGTAATTTTAATGTTAGTCTATACTTTAAACTGTTAGGAGTAGTACAACTTTTTACAACAATTTATGTACATAAATGTACCCAAATACCTCCCCACCTTGCTTCTGTGTTGCTCCTTTTAAAAAATTAGAAAGATAAAGTATAAATTACATTGTTTTTGTTCTTCCTCAATCTAAACTATAATTACAAATTATAAACAAGATTGCTTGAATGTCGTCTTACTAATCCACAATTTTTTGGGTCCGACTGTAGTAAGTAAAATATGTACAATGTTTTCTGTAAGTGTAGTTGTATTTTATTAAAACGTTAATGTTTCCTTATTGTATAAAATCCCAAATATTTAAAGGGACTGTGCGACGTAATAAGTGACTATTTATTTGAAGAATGGCATGCTCGATTCACAAGGGTACCTTAAACCTTGGTCTGAAGATCAACGACAGAGCTGAAAATATGGATTTGTCGGTTCTTGATTTTCATTCGAACGTTAAAAGGGTACTGTTGTAAATCGAACATGCTACAAATAATGGATTATTAAATCTACGTCTACAGTACCTTTAACTTTACAATAGTAGTTGGATAACTGCTACACATACATATACTGTTCTGTGATTCTCTATTATAATTAACCATGTAAATAAAGTTATTCAGTTCTTTATACAGACTTTATGGTAGAGAAAAGGAACTAATCGATCGTTTCAAAATCTGAAATTTTTATCCATAAACCTTTGCAACCTGATGGTTTAAACCTTTGATATTTTAAACTTTGTCTTTTGATTTAGCAGAATTATGTCCAAGGTCTAAAACACCTAAAATTGCAAATATGTAATAATGAAAAAATTGAGTTTGTGGAGAGTAATCAGTTTCTTAATAAAATCTCAATATACAAGAATAAGTATACAAGGAAGAGTGTAATAAAAGAATAAGGATACAGGGAAGAATGTAATAAGAGAATAAGTATACAGGGAAGAGTGTAATAAGAGAATAAGTATACAGGGAAGAGTGTAATAAGAGAATAAGTATACAGGGAAGAGTATGATAAAAGAATAAGGATACTGGGAAGAGTGTAATAAGAGAATAAGTATACTGGAAAGATTATGATAAAAGAATATGGATACTGGGAAGAGTGTAATTAGAGAATAAGTATAAGGGAAGAGTGTAATAAGAGAATAAGTATACTGGAAAGATTATGATAAAAGAATATGGATACTGGGAAGAGTGTAATAAGAGAATTAGTATACAGGAAAGAGTATGATAAAAGAATAAGGATACTGGGAAGAGTGTAATAAGAGAATAAGGATACAGGGAAGAGATGTGATAATAACTATTTATAACGAACACTGTTATTTTGGTTCGCAGTGTTATATAAGTTCTTGGACAGAAGTTTTCTCTTTATCCAGAAGGTTTAAGCCTTTTTAGATTTAATTTTGTCCCTAGCTTTAGCGAGGGACAAAATATAATCTAGATTAAATAAGCTCTGAAACAAAGAAGAAGTCAAACTATAAAGTTGATTTCAATTGAAAAGAATATATTGAAAATATCCAATTTTTTTTGGAGAAAATCCGGAACCAATCAAAACTTTATAGCAAACGTGCTGTACAGCTAATTTAACTTTATCGCACGATGATTACTTTACAGCACGTTCATTTTGTAATTCACGATGAAGAGAGTAAGAATGATAAAGTACACAATAGTTTTATAAAAGAATAAGGATACAGGAAACATGATTTAAGAATATGGATGCAGAAAAGAGCAAGATGAAAGAGTAAGGATATATAGAGGAGAGTGTAATAAAAGAATTAGGAGACATGAAAGAGTATGATAAAAGAATAAGGATACATACAGGGCAGAAGTTAATAAGAATATAAGTATACAGGAAAGAGTATGATAAAAGAATAAGGATACAGGAAAGAGTATGATAAAAGAATAAGGATACAGGAAAGAGTATGATAAAAGATAAAGGATACAGGAAAGAGTATGATAAAAGATAAAGGATACAGGAAAGAGCATGATAAAGGATAAGGGTATACATATAAAAGTTTATAATAAAAGAATAAGGATACAAGAAAGAGTATGATATAAGAATAAGGATACAAGAAAGAGTAGGATAAGAGAATAAGGATACAAGAAAGAGTATGATAAAAGAATAAGGATACAGGGAAGAGTAGGATAAAAGAATAAGTATACAATAAAGAGTATGATAAAAGAATAAGGATACAGGGAAGAAAGATAAAAATATTGTGATAGTTGGGGCCTGGGCGAACATGTAATTTGATAAATTGGAACGAGAAAGAATGAGAGAGTATTAAGGTTTAAGGATTACTCCTTTGGGTGTAGTTAAAGTATACTTTCGGCTTCATTGTCTAATAAACATTTATTTAAACACCTCATTTATTATATACTAGGTATTCAGGGGGCTTCTCACCCATCTTTCTAGGAATAATTAAGTCTTAAACTCGTTGTTTTGATACATTTTGTTAATATTTTCTAAGATTTCGAGATTTGAAAAATTCAATAAGATATTAAAGGAACAGTCTTAAATAATGTTCCTTTTCAGGGCGTGTAAGTCCCACAAATAAGTTTGGCCCGATTGGTTCAGTCGTTTTGACGTTTATTGGAGACAGACAGACGACAAACATACAGAGAAGTCAAATATATAGATAAATATATATCAAATTCAACGCATTTTCGCTCCCCCTTCTTCAGAGCAAAATATGGAGCCAATGCATCTTTCCATATCATTAAATTTAACAATAAATATAAGCAAATCATTTCATTTCTTTTCTTGACCAACATTGCACGACCTGCACCTCCCCCCCCCCCTCCGCGCACACACACCATGGTCCATGGAAGATACTGCATAAGGGACTGTATTTTTAGTTTAAGTAACCCTCCATTTAAAGAGGAGCATGCTAGATTCACACGGTTATAGCAAGGCTGTAACTTAAATCTGATCACTCATGTGAAAAAGAACCTCGTTTTTCTAGCTTGTAAAGTAGTTAATTCTGTTAATTTCTTTGTTATCTCTGAAGCAAGAAACGTGCAAGTGATTATTGTAGAGAAGTCACGAATGAAAGTAATAAGTTTTCAAAAATCTTTTTTTTTTTGATCATACCGTTATATAGAGTCAAACATATATCTGATATCAATGGCGCTTCACTTTACCCCTTGGCAGAGTTCAGTGTAGATAGATAGATAGAATCATATCTATAAGCGGGCCGTGACAGAATCTAATTTCTTTTACTACAATCCCCCACCCCTCCCTCCTACCCTTTCAAACCCCTTGATCTGAAAATGGGAAATAAGGAGTTTGCGTTTGACATGCCCAAAAATAATGCTTAAGCCGTCGTGCATTGCTTTGATTTGAATAATTTTAGGGGCATTTTTTAGTAAACACCTCTTAGAAGAGATACAGACACAAGTATAATAAAAAAACGGAGAAAACCCGCCTTCATTTAATCTTCAGATTAGAGTTATCTGAGCTGAAAACTTTTGAATGGGATATCCTTAATCCCGATCAGTTAATTAATCTGGAGATTAATAACAAGAGGAGAACAAGCATTATTTAATCTCGAGATAAAGAAAAAGAGTGGATCAAGCATTAATCCCGATATCCAGAAATCAAAAGTTCCCAGCTCTGATCAATAATGTTGAATTCGTGGATTTTGTATCATTGAGACGAAATCTTTAAACATTAACCAACAATTAAACCTAGTTTCGATTTTTCTAGCGCCGGGCTGGTATATAACATTTTGAAAATTATATATATTTTTGCTGCAGTAGCAATGCACACTTCACTTTTGTAGAGAACTCAAAGTTAAAAATAATAATTTTTTAAAATTTATAAGCAATGGTATTTATAAATTCATACTTAATCAGAGAAATCTTTTAAGGGTAATGTTGTGAAACGGGCATTGCCAACTTTGCATGGTCGAGGTTTGGATACGCTCAGATTTAAACAAGGACGGTTTAAATAATTACTTTATTAACTAGCTTATTTTACTCTATCAATTTTTAAGAAATCAAAACTATGTCTATTCATGGTGACGTGGCAGATCTGTGTTCCTCTAGCCGCGTCTCTCTATCCGGCTTAGACTTGGATCGTCTTCCGCCACAGAGGGTCACTTTAGATTACGCTTATACTGTCCCAATTTAAGAAATAAAGAATTCTATGCTAAAACTAAATTGATGGAACAAATGTAAAAATTATTGAAGAATCAGCTTCAACAGATTAAATATTGAACATCATGCGATTATTCAATATTCTTTCAAGGCCTCACTTTTATACTTCTAGCTGAAATGTTGATATATTGGTATAAATGTAATGAAACAAAACCTTTTTGACGGTTTGTCAATGCATTGGCGGCTTGTAGGGAGGGGGGAAGGGACGCCCCCCTCTGGAAAATGGGGGGGGGGAGATTTTTTTGTCAATTTTTGAGCAATTTTAAAATCACCCCCCTCCCCTATACCCCTGGTTTGTCAGATTCACAACGGTACCCTTAAAAGCTTTCGTAAATGTGGGTTTTCTTTAAAAGTGACTCTAAGAGTTTTTCTACAGGAACAACGGAGTAAATGGTCAGAATTAGATACTTTTCAAGAGAAAGAAAAGACGATATGTTCCACACTTCTCATCAGGTAAAGGTTTAAAAGGTATCATTATGAATCAGGCATGCTCCTCTCTTTAAAAAAGGGGAGTCACTTGAAATTACAACTACAGTCCATTTAATGGTGTGTGTAAACGAATGCAGGCAACTCTGAGTAAAACTAAAAGATTAAGCATGAGGAAAAAGAAAGGATTTAGAATGAGGAAAAGAGAGGATTTAGAAAAAAACAACTAATAAAAGAAAGCATTTAGAAAAGAAAAGAATTAGAAAAGAAAGAATTTAGAACGAGGAAAAAGAAAGGACTTAGAATGAGGGGAAAAAAGGATTTATAATAAGGGGAAAAATGATTTAGAAAGAGGAAAAAGAAAGGATTTAAAATGAAAAAGGGTACGCTGATTCGAAGAAATTGGATCATAGGATAAAAATGGTATATTTCATAGAATTAGAGAGAAAAAAGAGTTTTGGGAAATTTATTTAAGGATAAAATAAATTTTAAAAACATATCTAAGCTTAAAACTTTTATATGAGCGTAATGGGTTTATGGGACGATTAGCGTTACTTGAAATTACCGATTTAAAACGCCACCCTTAAATCATTTGTGTGTTCATCGAGTACAGAGATATGTGTGGTTAAACTTATCGAAACCCGCTTGTATTTAGCTGCAATTTCAAGTTTGCGCTGTGTTGAGTTACGTACAGTCTGAACTCCACACAATACACACATGAATTTGCAAAATTTATTAGAATTAACGAGTTAAAAGTTACGCCTGGTAGAGTATTTTTTAACGGCGAAAAATTAATTCTGAAAAGATGGGCATCTGTACTTTGTTTGTATACAGGAATTTTTCATTTTACTATTACAATAGTTGGCAATCAAACAAAACATAATCAAACCAATTCTTTACTTTAGCAGACGAATTTGTTTAATCGAAAATTGTTATATAAAATCTTAAAATCGTCTCTTAATTTCAAAGAAATTCTAGTTTAAAATATCGAAGGTATTCGAAAGTTAGAGCATGTGGCAAGTGTTCCTTTATTGCGTGTTATACTCAGTA